CGCCGCAAGCCGACTATCTTGGAACTTCACGGAAAATCAACTCGAACAGCATTCTACGATATTTAAGTTGAAATTAAAATCCTGAAGTAGTAGTAGAAGCCACATGTGAAGAAGGTGGAAGACCTCCATGGACGATGGAAGCGAGGAGACGAGTCGAATATGGGAAGTGCTGGGGTCCGCACAGCACTTGCTTGTGAACACGGGTCGTATAAAATACTTCAGCACTCACTATTCTCTTCAAAAGGTAGTTCTTCGAGTACTGGGCACAATGGTTCTTCTTCGTCGCTCACTTCTTCTACTTAGAGAACTAATCTTATTTAGTCTTGATCCACTAGTCTTGTTTACTTCGTAGATGGACGCACAGCACTTGCATTTCGATGTTCAGCCGTCGGTGGCTATCATCTGGCAATCCGTATATATCGTGTAGTTGTCTTCGGCTGATGAAGTTCAAAACGATTTGGTGTTTAAGGCAGAGGCGAAGAAAGTATGCTACCTGTCAAGCTAAGACGAAATTTTGTCGTAGTGGCAGCGCTTCTTCTACAAGTCGGAAGTATCTTGCTGTTATGTCTTCTAGTAATTCCCGAGATCCACTTTCTATTAGCATATAATACAAACACAAACACGCAAATGCAGAAATGCATGGGTCTTGCAGCGATCTCTTACCGTTTGTAGGCGAAAAACTGCCTTTTTTCTTACTGGAAACTATCTATTGTTGATATCCATAGAGTTTCTAACTTCGTATAAATGTGATTTCTTTTCAGTAACCTTTTCCTTCTTTCTTCCCTCTTTTTCTTTTCCTGTGCACTTTCATGAGAATCATTAACACTATTTTAACGTCTGCTTATAGTATCCCGTCATACTGCCGTTGCTTATCCACATTGTAAATAGGACGCGTGTGGCGCAGTGGTCGGAGGCGCCCTACAACATACACGTGGAATCGATCCACATGCACATGTCCCACCAAGCCTTCCAACCTTCCGGGGCGGCAAATTGGTACCAGACTTGTCTGGGAGGATAGCAGCACTGGCTCGATACATCGCCAGGCCACTGCGAGTTATTGTAAAGGCTAGATCTGCATTCAGTCACCTCCAATGATGCTTAATGGAATCAAATGCATGGTGCATTCCTAAGGGATTGATCAACGCCGGGAGCTTCATCCTTTATCCTTTTAAGCTAAACTGACTTCCATAATTCGTAAGATGCTACCGATATTATTCAAATCAACGATTAATGAAATGACGGCACGAAAGGAAATTTGTGAATATGTGAATAAAAAATCGAGAGGACACAAAAGCAAAGTGTCCGGCCACACAGAACACTTGATAATCCGATTAAAATAAGGCCTGACCGTTATTTGAGACCAGCGAGCCGTGACCATATCAGCCAATGTTGCTTACAAAAGGAAAAAACAGTACTTAGGGTAAATAGACCAAGGAAGTTTCAGTTCATCCAAAAACCATTTAGTCTGAATCGAGACGAGCTCGATTTATTGGCCAGTCTTCTCTGAAAGTAGTACTGACTGACTAGGAAGTCCGATTTTCTCGTTCAGCCCAGTAATAAATCATAAACCAATGCAAAGAAAAGGAAAGTGTTCGATGTCCTCTCCTATCATACTGAAAATCCTCACAGTATCTTCTAGAGAGAAAGAAAAGACGAAAGAAGAAAAAATTAGCTTTAAGATGAATTAAGGAACAAATCAATCTATAGGGCGTAAACGTACGTGAACTCTGTAACATGGACTGTAATGCTTAGATAATGCACACTTTCACTTAGAACATGTAAACATTTTAATGTAAAAGAGAATCTTTACCTCAATGCAGAAGCGATTCTGTTTAAAAAAAAAAAGGTTAAGAATTCCTTCTAGCATAAGGAACTGAGATTTTTCACTTATTTATTCAGTCAATTCAGTGATTCGTTAGTTGTCAATACATCTAAGATCTTAGTCTATATTACCACTAATTTCGACGCTACATCACTAATAGCAAATGATGAGAAGCCGACTAAAGCAAGAAACACTGGATCAACTGTTTTCTATGCATATGTGTGTATACACTTGGATATTTGGATAGTCCGTCTTCAGTGGTTGTGCGGACCCTAGCACAATTTCGATTCTGCAGAGATTTGCTGGTTTACCTACTATGGTTCCTGGAATCCCGAGGTCAGGTTAGCACAAATCTTCCTCAGGTCGTCACTACCACACGCAGTCGCCTCCCTTGTGGATCAGAGGAAGATTTGCCACCATGCGACTAGTTTGATACCAGGACGGTGGTGATTGCTTTTATTGGTTTACTCTTAGCTGAGCTTCTGGATGGAAACGTCGGACTCCTCAGTTTCGGAGGCCCTGCTGTGGGACGAGTGTCCACTGTACATCGTAGCCTGACACTCAGGAACACTTCCCAGACACAATGAAGCGATAAACCGCTGGAAGAATATATATAATTATATGTGTGTATGTGTGTCGATATGTGTATGTATGTATTCGCATATTTATATTCCTATATACATTTGAATGTATCTATCTATCTGGTAGGGTTCATGAAGAAGTGCGAGCTTGAAATGCTGTCGTTCATTTTAGCATCAGTTCACAGTAGCACCTATTGAATTCGGTTTGTGATCAAAGCGAAAAGAAAAACAGGACTCGTGAAATTACGAGTATAAAAGAATCTTTCTGAATCACCAATCGTTAAATTGTGTGTGACTAATAGTAGTTGCATGACGGAAAACTACATGTGCTTCCAGAAAAACACTCTCCATCAAGAACCCAAAACAGAACTGATTGTAACTCCCAAGTCCGACTTTCTATTAACCTCGGCATTGATTGAATATATCTTTCTACTTCTGTTCAGCAAACACGAGGTGCTATTTTATTTATTTACGCACAAGCTGACGTTTCGGCGGATTTCGCCTTACTCAGAGCCTGGAAGGGTCAACTTGACAGCAATCCATTCGGCCAAACACCTCCATAACCAAACAGAGAAAACGCTAAACCAAGATTTCAATCACGTTTAGCATATCTCTTCACACTCACCGCTTTCTATGAGTCGGAGTATGTCGCGTGAAGACCGACCGCACCAAATTCACATGGAAGCGTAATGTGCTCCTCCCATCAGAAAAAGACAACTGCTAAAAGACAACTTCGATTCATTCTGTATCTTTCATCTCGGCACGCAAAACGTTTCTTTGTCAATTTCAAACAAACAAAAAACTGCTGAGAACCCACACTTCAACGACCGCACAAAGAACGCGCTCTTGTTGGCAGTTTTGCAGAAAAAACCGTGCAAGCATTAGTCGCAGACTAGTAGGTAGTAAAAGTTCTGTTTCCAATTTACAAGCCTAAGGATCTCTGATATGTTTTCAGTCACACGCTGAGCAAGAAACGCAAAGTCCAACGAATTGCTCCGATGACGAGGGAGAAATGAAAGAGTTAGTGCTTTGGTATACAAACTGGTAACGTAGCCTTCTTCCCAAACAACAATATTTGTCGTGTTTCAAGGTGTCCACTTCCGCTATCACCCAGTATTAATGAATGGATCCCATATCCTTAACTGAACCCTGAATGCTGCTACATACGATGTCCTTTGGTGGCTTAGCTAATTGCCGTAACTACTGGATAAATAGTAATTCAGAAAACAGGAAATATTGCAAGTTCGAAACCATGACGAAAGGTTCACGGAATGAAATAAAAGAAATGTTGATAAAGTGGGGAAGGTTCGCCAGTGTTGACAAATCGTTATGAGATGAATCGGTCACAGTGAAAACAATGAACTTCACAGACGCAGGGAGTGGAGCGGTGATATTAACATTGTTAGCCTACATGCTGTTGGAACTTCAAAACACTACAGGTATTCATCCTCAGACAGATAAGAAGGGTAAGGTTCTCAGTGTTGATCAATTTATGAAGGAAGTGGCATGCAATCGACTTCACCACACATCGTCAGAGGTGATCGCAGAGGCCTATCGACGAATAGAGTTAGTGTTCTCAAGTCAACAAATCTGGTACGAATTTGCCGACGCCGGATGCATGGAAGGCCTGGTGATCGTAGGACACTGGATCGAACCAAAGACCACGTGTGTATTGCGGACCACCTCCAACCACTGCGCTCCTTTCCCTCAAACATATATGATTCAGAAATTCCCATCGTTTTTATGCATTTCAAACCATGTTCAATGTACTTAATAGAGAAAACAACACATTTATTTCGGGAAAAATGAAAACACGCAGTGAAAACCCGGACAAGAGCTATATACTAATGAATCGATCCATAAGACAAACATAGCGTGACAACAGTCACAGTAGCACTTCAGGACAAAAGAATCGTAACCAATATATTTGTAGTTTAAACAAGACTGCCATTTCTCTTTAGCGTGGAATAAAACAGAACAAGACTAGCCTACGAATGCAATAAAACTGCATTAATAGAAAAAAGAGGCCAATACCGACGAAAACAATTACAGTTAACTAGAGAAAGATTTAGAAATCACGACTCCATACACATGAAATACTAGAAAAAGCATCAGTTGACCACAAAAAGCCCATCGCTAAATAAGCATTCGGGACGTGTGTATGAGAATGAAATGTTCACAAAGCCAGATTAAATTCCAGTAGCTGGTAATAGAATCATTTATCACAGCCTAATGAAACAACGACGATGAGAAACAATCGAAACTGAAGAGAAACTGTAAATAATCGCGAATAAAAACTGGTCACACATAGGCTTTGTGAGTTGAGTTACTCAACCTTAAATTGATACCACTGTAAACGAGGACGACAGTTTCTCATCAACGCCGCTCAAACATCCTAACAACCACTGAAACAAAACTGGTGACACCACCAGTTGGAGTATGGAGGATGGTTACAAAGAAAGAAAACACAGATTTCAAATTAAGAGAAATGTTTTAAACGCAATCTAATGCTTTCACTGTATCGTGAACACCGTTTTGAAAAACAAATCCCGTTGAATTGGTTACATCACAATATTAGGCACTAGAAAGGCCACATATTAATCATAATACAACACAAAAATAAAAGACAAACAGACGACCAGATTACGCGCTCCTGATGAGCTTTTCATTTTGCCACCATATTTATCAAGAAGATCGAGGATCACACCATTTGTCCAGCCAAATCCTGTCTAAAAAGTCTAGTATTCCATAGAATGGAATTAGACAGCTAATTTTATTTTCTAATAAAACTATTGCTGAGTAGTACTTATTTAATTGGATACTTGGATGGCCCGTCAACACTGGTTGTGGGAACTACAGCATAATTTGCGTTCTGCATATTTGCTGGTTTGGCTATTGTGGTTCCCTGAAGGAGAGATGTTAGCCTAGCCAAAGTCTGTCTCATGTCGTAACCACCACAGGCAGCAGCCGCCCATGTGGAACAGAGGGAGATTTGCAACCACGCGACTAGTATGATACAGGACAGTGGTGGATCCTGGTATTGGCTTACTCTTAGCCGGGCTTTCTCCTTCTTAGCTTGGAAGGCCCTACTGGAGGCGTAAATCCCAATCTGTAACAGTTCCCAGGATCGACTTTCTTTTAACCTCGGCATTTGAATAGTAATGCGTCGTTTTCTCTCTCAGCAATCGCGAGGTTGTTAAACAGCATACGTTTACTTCCGTACAATAACACAGTCGTCAACCGTATGCGATTCTGATCAGCGGCTCTTCCTCAGTGGAAGGCACGTAAAAACGGCTCTGAGGAAGGTGATACTGCTGAAACGTCAGCTACGATTGCTGTATGTGTGTTATCGAACGGAAGTAAACGTATGCTGTTTAACAACCTCGCGATTGCTGAGAGAGAAAACGATGAATTTATAGTCCCACACTGTGCATCACAGCCCGACACCCAAGCACACCTCCCAGCCACGATGAGGCGTTAAACAGTTGGGAGGATAACTTGTAGTAGTAAGTAGTAGAGTAGTAAGCTTGTTAATACCATCACTAATATTGTGCACATTCATATGACGACAAGCTTCTCAACGATTTACCGCCTCATCGTTGCTGGGAAGTGTTCCTGGGTGTCGGACTGCGATGTACAGTGGGTGATTCATCCACTCAAGAGGATCTCCTAAGCTGTGAAGGAGTCTGGCGTTCCCATCAGGAAGCCTAGCTAAGAGTAAGCCAATACCAGGATCCACCACAGTCCTGGTATCAAAGTCGTATGGTGGTAAATCTCCCTCTGATCCACAAGGGCAGCGACTGCTTATCGTGGTCACGACATGAGGCAGACTTTGGCCAGGTTCTCCTCGGGATTCCAGGGAACCACAATGACTTAACCAGGATTATGCTGGAGCCCGCACTACTTAGGATGGGCCGTTCAAGTATCATGTATCAAGTGGTATATGAAGTATATAAAACGAACTACAAAGCTGTCGAGAAAGCAAATTCCGTTCGAATCATATACTGTGTCTTTCTCGCAAAGGAGTGTTCCAGCAAATAAAACACTGTTCTTTCAAATGCGTTCCTCCATAATTTTAAGGGCATTTTTAACGCCTAGAGGTTAAAGATGTTGAAAAATCGCTTGCGATGAGTATTCTAGCCATCAACTTATTAGTATTACTCCAAAACCATCAAGTCTTTGGATATGTTTATTAACTGTTGTGTTATCGTATCTAGCTACCCAACAAAGGTAGTTGCAAATTGATCTCGACTTCTTACCTGCACTTCATATTCTCCACCACCACCTGCAGATGCTTCTTCAGTCAGTGTTGTAACGTTATACTTCTCAAACATTGCATGTGTCCGAATAAATGACTGGTAGGTTATCGTCAACCACGAAGTAGCCATTTTTTCAGCCACCTTAATACAAGTAAAAAGAGTAATCGAGTAGGATCTTTTATTTACAGTGGAGGTGGTATCCGAAATCTTTTAAAAAACTTAATACTGTCATGACAGCAAAGCATAACTATTCGTGCCAAAAGTGAACATGCAAAAAAAATTTGTTCGCTGCTAGTGCTACTCCTCTAAATATGCAGCCAGGTAAGTATCTAACACAAATACATTTTTATGTTGATTGTATTACGTCACAGAAAAAAAAAAACGAAAAAGAGAATTGAGAAAAGATATTTAACTTTCCAATGATGAAATGTTTTTGGACACTGTCCAAATAATTCCAAAAAATAAGACGAAGGGCTTGGTAGGCGTGGTATGGGATAAAGCCTGCGTCTGAGTAGGCTGAGATGATCGCGTAGTGAATGGGACCAACAGCATTACGCTACTCGTCCTCCAGGTAGTTAGTTCCCCAGATTTCGCCCAATTATTGCTCTCTATAGTCTAAAGTCAGAGGCAGACCTAAATACGGACACCGATCATGAAAAGGTCTTTTAACAATCATGATGAGGAACTAAAATTCGTTACTGGAATGACAAACTGACAATGTAGGGAATATCGAAGTAGAAACTACAATAAAAGTAAGCTTAGGAATTGAAGTGGAACTTTTGCACAAAGGACTGATGATCATCACCAATTTCAATTTTCCTTCGAAATTTCCTTATGGAGATAGCAGCCTTGGAAATGACACAATCTGACATAGCCCACTGGCATCAACGATAACTTAAAAATGTCTACTAAAGCACATCCATGCGCAAAGATTAGATATCCCGCAGAGAAACTTGACATGAGTATAAAAACAACTTTCAGCCGCCTCAACTAAATAAAAGGGAACTTAAAACGGTAACCTTTGCAGCCATCTTCTATCACTCAAAAGAGACTAACTTTTCCCGGATTATAAAACGAATTCACAAGCGTCATAACCCATACACAGGATTCTAAATTATAGATGGATAAAAACATGCTAAAAATATCGCTGCCTACTATTTTCAACTTTAATGGAACCAGACTTTAGAGAGAAATCATGAAATTCTTATTTCACGCCACTGCAAGATTTTTGGTCAAGATGAAAGTCTATGATAAAGAAGTATATACAAGATGTTGAGCAGCGTGAATTGCATCCAAGCTAATGAAAACGGCTGTATCTCGCTAATATCCGAATCCTTAAACCTTCATATTTTACCCAACGGTATTTCCACCTTTATGCTAATCAATAAATTATAGGTAACGATTTTAAGCACGTCTAAGCCAACACTGGTCATCATTAAAGCTCTCGAGAAAAGTCTACTGAAGAACGCTCGATTTGCTCTAGATAAGAGGGGTCTGCGCAACTTGAATATCGAAACAAAATCCTTGTAGCACAGTGAAATATGATAGGCTACCAAGCCAAGCAAGCACAGATGAGGAAAAAAACAAACAGACAGTTATCGACCATGTATTACTCTGTGCGGCGGCTATCCACCAACTAACTTAAATACTTACAACAAATAAGCGGCTCTGAAGAAGGCGAAACCGCCGAAACGTCAGCAATTGTGTTCTAATAAATTCTATATTAACAACCTCGTGTCTGCTTATTGATGAAAAACATTGAAAAAAACAACCGTAAGAAAAGAAAAACAACGTTAACCAGCTGGTAGGAAAATTCAGTACCGTTCGAATCATTTTGTCTGACAGAAAGAACATACATTTCCTATACAGTTTTCTCCCTATTTTTCCTATTGCTCTGCTGCTGTTCTCAACTTTTTTGATCTTTCCAGCTTTTTATCGCATTCATCCAGGCACACAATATCAAATTCCGTGAATTTCATGCTGATATGAAGAAGAATAGGACAAGTGTTGTGGCTACTGCTATTTAGAGGGATCAACACTGTATTTGGTCCTGAACTCAGTTAATGAACGCACCATTGAAAACACAGCAAAGTGAGTCTTCATGCGAAACAAACCCACGGAATTTTCGGTAACTCATGCTTGGTACTTGAAGAGAGCAACACGACGATAATTTGATCCCTCTCAAATGCGAATGAAATGAAGATTAAATCCCAGTATAGAGAACTTCTCTCTTGAAAAGTTCTCTATCTATCTAAATAATAGCATTTGATGTCCAAATATGGCCGCGTCGCAGTCGCAAATCAAACACCGCAATGTAACCTTTTGTAATCTTCTCGATCAATTATGTTCAGTGTTTCAGGCAAAATAGCGATGCAGGTTTGACTTCAGTAGCATAGCGACGATGGCTTATCCGAAGGAGGCGTAACAGTGGAACAGTTTACCACTTTTTACTACAGTTTACTACAAACAACAGGTCACCAAGATGTAATTAATTCACAAACTGACTGCAGCACATTAGAAACGCAGTTCAGCGAGATTTCTGTATTAGATGACAACTGGGAAATGTTCTGTGCATTTGAAGCAGCCGTAGCGGAAGAATTTACGAATTTCGAGTCAAACGACACGTCCACATTTAATGCATTGATGCAGGAGAACATCCCCAAACACCTAAACAGCTTCGAAATCATTAAACCAGGTGGAGCCCCGCATAGTTAAAGCTTAGCTAATCGCATTCTAGCCGAAGACACCAGCAAAGAAGCAACAGGCGCATACTTTGTTGCGGATATGGAGTGGCAATCATGCACACCAAAGGCGACGTTAATATCACTCAACAACGGTCCTGGCTTTCCGCAATGCTTACGAAAGAAGCCCCCTTGGCGCGATAAACGTAGCACAACCATGTCATTCGACCGCCACGAATTCTCAGAAGCAAAAGGATGAAAAAGTCATCCAGTTAAGAGGCGGGAGTGTCGATAACATCGACCAATTATTAAGGTAAAGTTTCAGATTTCTCTTAAACCTTTGCGTAATGCAAAAACCGTGGGTTCAAATTCAATCAAAATAGCTAACAAAATTTCGCCTTAGCCCCTAAATAATCCGGGCGGGTATATAGAGAACTTCTCTCTTGAAAAGTTCTCTATCGATCTAAATCATGGTATTTGATGTCCAAATATGGCCGCCTCGCAGTCGCAAATCAAACACCGCAATGTAACCTTTTGTAATCTTCTCGATCAATTATGTTCAGTGTTTCAGGCAAAATAGCGATTCAGGTTTGACTCCAGTAGCATAGCGACGATGGCTTATCCGAGGGAGGGGTAACAGTGGAACAGTTTACTACTTCCTTGCGAAACAACGAAGCTAATGACGTTTGATGTTTCAGGCAGTTAGATACAGTCTATTGCGGTCCAAGATCAACAATCCAGATTAACCGCGGTTGCATACGCACGCGACTCCCGCAGCCGATATAAGCCAGGTGCCTTCGACGGCGGAGACATGCCATTACTCACCTTACCCCCGATCGGTAGCGCGGATAATCCGCTCCTCACAACATCATCCTCAATCACCTCAACTCATTCTTAGTCATAGTCATTCATTCTTATTCAATCACATTCATTCACACATTCACATTTAGCTTATCAGTTTTGTAGCCATTCATCATACTGGCCCTTACCCTTAGGAAATGGTGGCACCCATCGATGCTCAAAGTTCACGTTGCTGACATAGCGTTATTCACGACCAGCCGCCTGATTCTGTTCCGTAGATGACTCATCATTCACTGTTCATAGCACCGTTAACGCTCATGTAACTTTTACAGTCCTCATCGATCCACTAAAATGCTCCTCATCGCTATAATGTTGAAATCTTAGCTTGGCCGAAACACGGCCAGTCTGTAACCCTCACCACCTCAGCATACTGTCTCCCTCTCGGCGGCATACAGTCTCCTCCCTCCGCCTCCAGCATACCGTCTCCCTCATCCGCCGCACCGGCTGCGGATAGACGCGGTGCGGCGCGGCATCGCTCACGGCTAACCAAAGGCTACTTCGTTGTAATCTCATTATTATTGTTAATATTGTATTAATGGTATAATAATGTTTGAATGCCATTGCCTCATTGTTAGCCTCACTTCACTACAGGCCTTAGCACCTCAGAGCTCGAACCTGTCTCATTCCTCACCGTTACTTCTCTATCGTTACTATTATGTAATTAGTGTCCTACTTATGTATTAAAGGTTTAATTACCCAAGTTTGAGGCCGGTAGGTTAACTACAACGGCTAAAAGACCCGCGTGGTTAATATTCTACATCAATCTGAACCGTTACACTTCGCCGCTAACCATTTCGTTACAGCCAGAAGCTCTGTTCATCAGAGATGTAAGCATAAATACCTTCATGAGATCCGGTTCTCCTGTGGTACGAAAACCTTCGATAACCATATGAATCATGGGTGGCCATGCATTTTCCTTATCCCACTGCTGCTCACTTCCCATAGCCAAAGAAGTTGGCAAGCCTTTTGTAAAATTCATCACACCAGATGCCTGTAATTTATATATGAAGAGAATTTTCTACTCTTAGTTATTTCTGTTTAACATTAGTCCTTGCTGAAATATGGAGAGATAAGAAGTAGAGGAAATTCGTTTTTACCAATACGCAACAGAAAGTAAGAAATCAGTAGCACAAATGTCCAACAATAACGACTAACCCGTAAACTATTTCTAGCAACCACAAGGCATAACTTACCTACTTGCTTTACTTCTTCATGGCAGGCTATTATGTCAAATACAACCACAAAGATGGGGAGATTTTTTGCAAAACTTGGACCCAGGGCGGATTAGAACCCACGATTACCCCATGTGAGGGCTCATGTGTTACTGCACCGTTGAGGCCCTCATTCTTCACATCGCATCAATGCTGTTGTATTTCTAGTAAATACAAAAAACACCTTTAAATACTCCAGAACTCTCCGTGGTATAACATCATCATCATCGTCATAACATTTCGCATACAGTGGAATTGCATTCGAAACATAGTACGTATTCGAGTGAGCCTGAAAATAAAAAAAAATTAGAAGGCTTGATTTAAAAAAAAGCCATTTTCTACTCCTTATAATTTACAGAAATCTGCTCTTTGGACGAGTTTCTCAGGTTAATCCATAACATGCAAAGCGTGTTTCGTATGCAGTCGAATGGAATGACTCCAAATTCTGAATCGACTGAGAGTAAAACTCCTCCGCCATTCAAAAACATGGCTGTCAGAGAGTGAATAATGCTGGTTATTCGATAACACACGACTAGATTTGGTTAAGTATAGGATTAGTGGAGTTAAAAACTTGACATACTTACAGGAAATGTTTTCAACTGTTGCTTTAGATGTGCACATGTTACTGTATAAAACTATAGTCAACACTTTTGTCAATAATTAGAAATATCTTGCAATCCAAGTTGACGCTGTTTCAGTAGCTTTGGACCCACTCATTCCAAATCAATTACTGATCAAAAATTCAATGTTACATGCCCACATGGTGGACGACGGTGGTTTTTCAAGAACCACAGGATCTGAGAAGCTGTAGCCTTAAAAAGTTATGGAAGGAAGGTCTGGTCTATTATTTGCAAACTTTCATGCATGAATTTGACTATATGTAAAAGGGTACATTGTAAAGACTGTGGGTGCAGATTTTACATGCGAAAGAGTTAACTGGTAAGTCGTAAAACCTGTAAGTTGTAAAACAAAAGATTTTGAAGAAAATGATTGAAATATCGGTGAAAAACAAAGAAAATAAGAACTGAAGAGCGTTTTCAAAGATACAAAGTGTAGAACCGTCCCATGAACACGCTGTTCTTTCTAGGTACATTCGGTTATTTTCAAAACATCAAGCGCGCACCCATGGTAAGATTAGATCTATACAAATTTACTCAAAAGCTAAACATCTTATGCTGCAGAGAATTGTCCATAAGAGGAGCACTTTAGTATGTAAAGTACAGTATCCCTCTATGAGGGCAAGCCGTGGTGAAATATAGTAAACCTCACAAAAAAACTGACTTAAAAAAAATTTTTGTAAATTTCTCATGCATAGTGAGTAGTCTTTTTCGTTCGACCCTTAGCGTAATGATCTGCGTTCGACAACACATCGAATAAATGAAAAAAAAGCGAAAAGCTCCATTTAGCATAAAAAAACCACTAAAAAGAAACAATGCATTGTATACAATCGCATCGTCCGCTATGGACCGAAGTCCCTTCGCTTTACAGATGACAGAACAATACAGTTCAACACCGCAAGTCGTTGGATACAAAAACTTTCATCTGTTGCTCCCATACATAGTCTTCCAGTGATCTAAGGAAAGATGTTTGAAAAACGTTCTGCTGTTTACAAGTTATGTAACCAACAACTTCACATTCCACACTTCTTATGCACAAGTCACATGGAATATTGAAAATAATAATTAATGATCACAATAAATAACCAAATATTGGTTAGAATACCCATTAAATCCGATCAAAAATAACAGGCAGTAAAATAATTGAATTTGATTAAAAAATATTGATTCGTTAAGTGTTAGCTTGACACTTGAATGGCCCGCCCTCACTGGTTGTGCGGGCTCCAGCATAATTTCCATTTTTCGGAGAATTGCTGGTTAAGCCACTGTGGTTCGCTGGAACCCCGAGGTCAGCCTGGCCAAAGCCTGCCCCAGGTCTTCACCATCACAGGCAGCCGCAGCCCTTGTGGATCAGAGGAAGATTTGCCACCACGCGACTTCGATACCGGGACGGTGGTGGATCCTGGTATTGGTTTACTCTTAGCTAGGATTCCTGATGGAAACGCCGGACTCCTCAGCTTGGGAGGCCCTGCCAGGGGATGAATCCCCGCTGTACGTCGTAGTCCGACATCCAGGAACACCTAGCCACGATGAGGAGGTAAACCGTTGGGAGATGTTAGCTAACAACTGATAACTATAAGTAATCAAGTAACAGCAATTATTTATCACAAAAAATAATAAAGGATAAAGCTCTTGTCGTTGAACAACCCCTATAGGATGCCCGTGTATTCGACTTCATTATGCATCGTTTGGAGGTGATTGATTGCATATCTGGCCTTTAAAATGATTCGCGGTGGCCTACCGATATATCGAGCTAGTGCTGCTATCCTCCCAGACAAGTCTGGCACCAATTTGCCGACCTCAGAGGGATGGAGAACTTGGTGAGGCACGGGCGCGGGTCGATTCCACGTGTGCGTTGCGGGGCGCCCCAGACCACTGCGCCCTTTTATAATTTCACTTTAGTACGTACGTATATGATAGAGTTCGATTCGCTTTTCAAACAGTATGAAGAACTCATAAACACACAAGTGGTTGTGGTCCTTACAATCTATGAAATTTACACTGAAGACCGAAGCGGCATTGCATACGAAATGGGGATGAGTTTACAGCTTTTCAAATTTGGTTCTAGGCAGAAGATGGGTCCCGTAAAATGTTTTCAAAGGCTAGGCCGTAACTACATCAATTCACTAATCGTGACAGTTTTCTTCTGAAAATAAAGACTGGTGAAGGTTTTTACCCATCAGACAAATGTCAGTCTCCACGACCAGCTTTTTTGCTCGTATCTGCCAGTCCAGTTAAAGGTCAGATTCAAACGTCGGTAATAAACAATTCAGAAAAATGTACCAGGAAGCAATCTATTTACAGTATCGAACTTACTACTCACTACAAATGCGAAGATCTATCGTTATTAGGCGTTACAATATTTGACCGCTCAACATTGACGCCGTTGTTCTCCAATTCATTCTCGTTACGCTCTTCAGTAGCAGAACAAATTCTATTGTCTTAAGCATGCAAGGCTTTCCTCATTCTCCCAGTAAGGAGTGGGTATAAAGCGAAGTCGAATTTTTCTTCTGCCGACATTCGAAATGACTCTGGTTCCAGTTTATGAAGTTCCACCAATTGCTTGTTCATTTTTTCAAATAGCCATGAAAGGCTAGGAACATGGTATAAAGTAGGTGTCCAGAAAAAACGGCACAGTACGACGCGTGTGGCGCAGTGGTCGCAGGCACCCTGCAACAAAACACGGCATCGATCTCCGCGCCCCTGGCCCACCAGGCCCTCCATCCTTCCGGGGTCGGCAAATTGCTACCAGACTTCTCCGAGATGATGGCAGCACTGGATCGAAACAACGGTAGACCACCACGAGTCATTGTAAAGGCCAGATATGCATTCAATCACCTCCAAATGATACTTAATGAAGTCGAATGCGTGGGGATACTCAGAGATTAGTCAACGCCGACAGCTCATCGCTTTATCCTTTTATAGAAAAGACATTAAAAAGAAGAAAACACATTTAACATATGAAGTAAAACCGACAGCCGAATCGCAAAGCGGTTGAATAGTCGACGGGTCCTTTTATTTCTTTTTAACAAACACAAGAGACAGACCAATCAGTTGCTGTTCCTATCGCTAACGTTAGGATTATTAAAAAATTCTATTACACAAAAATACAAGAGATGGTGTTTTTCGAAAAAATATCGAAGAACAATGAAAACACATAGACGCATGAAAAATATGCAAAAAGGCGGAAAAGAATATAAACCATTACAATACTAAAAAAGAATTTCCAAAGACTTATCTTTGTAAAAGTTGAAATCACCAATATCCTTTTAAAAGACTTCATCACAAACAACTGAAATAAACACAATACCATCCCAATTAAACAAAAAAAATCACGTTCGCCATCAGTTTTAGGAAGGACGATTCCCCTAAAAAAATTAAGCGCCGCCACATTTCGCTTAGGTTAAAAATTGAATTTAATCACGATTATATTAAAAGATAAACACGCTTCTCTCGTTCCTCAAGAGAAAAACAACCCAATGGATCTTTTTACATCATATTTGCAATTTTACTTCTAACTAGTTGACTTGCATTACTCTCCAAGTATAATATTTGATTCCTATAATGCTGAGATATTTGCAAAATTTCGTACCGCAGGTGTCTGCGGTGGGGAACGAACGTGCTATTGTCCTTTCCGAGGAGTAACGCCCTAACCACCACACCATGAGGGTGCTTCGGTTTCGACTGTCTCCCAGCTAGTTCTATCGATCTTTTTGCCATCAGCAATCACTCGTCAATGGGATTGATCTGGGGAGCCTAAATCGGCATTGAACCCAGTTAAGCTGAGGCTATAGTTGTAATCACAATCTTAACCTTTTTTCTATTTACTGCCTATTCTTTTTAACGGCAGTGTATGTTGTGAAATATAACTTCTATAATGCTGAGATATTTGCAAAATTCTGAACCGTAGGTGTATGCGACGGAGAACGAACGCGCTATTGTCCTTTCCGGGGAGTAACGCGCTAACCACCACACCATGAGGGTCCTTCGTTTCGCCTGTCTCTCAGCTAGCTCTATCGATCTTTAATAATATTTGAATCCTACTGTATAGCCCTTTGATGAAACATGTTGCCCACTGAAAACTAGCTTTTACAGGAAATGCAACGAATAAGTTGTTTCTCAACCAGATATAGTAAAACCTGAGATTTTCGAAATCGACGATTTTGTCAGGGTTTTAGAACAAAAAGACAAGGAACACTGGAAAAAATAAGTAGAGAATCGTCTCAATGATATTTATTTTTAACATTTACTTTTCTCTCCAAATCGTAGTCGTACCATATCCCATCTGTCTCGTTCCAGTGAATTTCTTTCATTTCACGTTTTGCCCATTCATACCGTTGTTGGTAAAACGCCACCTTTTTGAAGTCGCCTAAGCAGAGATAACAATAAAAAGACCATAAAATAATTAATATATTCACGAGCACTTGAAAGCTCAAATAGAACCTCTTATTTCAAAAAGGCTTGCAAGAATTCGAGCATTCGCGCACATAAAAGCATTCAGGTCGACCGGTACGATGCTCCACGTTCTATAAAAACATTTTTTTTGCTGAAGATGACATTAGTGCGAAAATTTAAATTAAAATACATTTCCTATTTCTTATAACTTATATGGGCGTGGGTAGCGCAGTGATCGGAGGCGCCCTACAATACACTTGCTATCGATCCATGCGCCCCAGTTTCACCAAGCCTTCCATCCCTCTAGGGTCAGGAAATTTGTATCAAACTTCTCATGGAGGGTAGCAGCACTGGCTCGATACAACGGTAGGCCACAGCGAGTCATTATAAAAGCCAGATATGCAGTCAATCATGTCCAGTGATGCTTAATGAAGTCGAAGGCATGGCACATCTCTCATGGATTAATCAACGCCGAGAGCTTTATCGCTTATCCTTTTATAACTTATAAAATTTAAAGGATGAGATTGCAATGTTTCACAATACGATTTACCTAGTTGCTCAATAAATTAAGTGTAGAAAGTAAAACGAAATATTCCAAAACAAGAATCTAGGGATGTCGTCCATCAGATTCACCTGAGAAAAACAAACACACCTAATACTTCTCATGTCATGCTTTCCCTCACCGTCTTGGGCAAACCATCTCGTCGAGAAATCCCATCCAGTCTCCGCAGCGGATGCTATTTGTGACCACATGTACGTTTTATCCTCTAGAACAAAAATCAGTAGCGAATACACTAATTGCTTTCAACAGGACAAATTTAGACTTAGAAAAAACCCATCTACCATTATTCTTCAAATGATGAACTAGCTCATGATCTTCACGATATGATTCCGGACGCGGTACTTTCAGAGTGGCTCGATACTGATAATATGGGAACTTCTCTTTGCCGTTCTCATCGACATGCATTTTGGATCTGTGCTTGATCCAGAATAAATATTCTAACTCGAGTGTTGGTAGTACCTCCTAAGAAGAAAGACAAAAACTTGAATAAAAACTATAAATGAATTAAAAAGCTTATATCTATGAGACAGACAGAACGTCTATTTGGTTTTCAAGATGGACACGACAAACCAAAACAAATTCTAAATCTCCGGTGCCAAGGAAGTAGTCGTACACCATTGGTATAAGAAGAGGTGGTTGTGACCGGGTAAGGTAATAAACACGGCCACCGTTTGGAACAAATCCATGACTAAAAACCAACTGTTACGTGATTTAAAGAAGACGAAGAATTGGCCCACAACATTAATCTCACTTATCAACCATATAGACGAGATTTTTGATAATTCCTCGTGCTGTCTCATGCATTTCAGAAAAAATGAGTCCCTTTAGTATCCAAAATGAATCCCTGAAAATGCAACAATATAAAAGATACTAGGAGATAATAGAACAATCAATAAAAGAACAAAGCACACTTCCAAACTTAGTCCACCAAGAAATACTCGTAAGTGACAATATAAAGTAAAACCTGACCAATAGTAAAATTCCCTGAATCGTCCGCCTGGTATAATGAAGGGATGGGGCACATAAAGAAGAGAATAATGATCCTGATGCCTACGGACATCATCACGAACCTAAACATTAACATTAAAAAAGAACTAAAAAAATGGTGTGGAATAAAAGTAAGTTCAAACAATCTATAAAATTCTTCACGCGGTTCACTTAAGCAAAACTGTTACTTTAGACTTATTTTTAGAGAATTATCAATTGAAGTATGAGACACATAGAAGTAAAAGACATCTGCCTTACCCGTCTACAAAGGTCTCTCCAAATCCTATGCAAATGAAGAGCCCATCTTCGATGATGATAATCGTGAATGCTTAGAAATGTGGATGGGAAATCCACCCAATCTCTAGGAAACCATTCAACGAGTTCTGTTCCAGGAGGGTTGAAATGCGAGTGTACGAATTCTCTCAAGACTGCAATATCGTTGGCCTTCTCGCCGAGTTCGTCGAAGTTTCTCAACGTTGCAACTGGAACGCATTAGAGTACTAAAGAAATATGAAGGTTTAAAAGGGCACTTTATCTACGAAACTAGTAACTCTCACTACGATTATGCTTCCATTAATGCCACCTACTCATCTGACGCGTATGATAATATTGCTACACGTCTTGAGATAAAATCACATTGATAACAGGCCGTAAGTCTATCAATAATAGCTTTTTTAAACGAGAAAGTCACAGCCACCCCACTGATGATAGATAGTATCAACGTCAACTTTACTCCTCAAAACGTAACCACCGTCAGTTTTGATTGTACTGTCCATACCTTTGTACGGCTTTCACTGTCTAACTAGTCTGTGACTAACACTAGGAAGTAGATTCTCAACATAGCAAGATGGCAAAAACACATACAAACATATATATATATATATAAACATACATAAAAGGATAAAGCTATTGATGTTGATCATTCCCTGAGGGATGCACTATGCATTCGACTTTACTAAGCATCGTTGGAGGTGACTGAATGCATATCTGGCCCTTACAATGACATGCGGTGGCCCACTGATGTATCGAGCCAGTACTGCCATCCTCCGAGACAAGTCTGGTAGCAATTTGCCGAACCCGGAGAGATGGAGGGTTTGGTGTGCTTGGGGATCGATCTCTTGTGTATTGCAGGGCGCCTCCGACCACTGCACTACGCCTGCCCTATTCTCCCCACTACGTTCGTAAAATCATGTTAATATAATACATCACATCGCGAATGTTTTTGTCTCAATGGAAACATAGACGCAATTTCAAATGATTTTATTTCAGACTTTTTATTTTGCAGCAGAAGTTTTTTTGGCGGAGTTTTCTTAATCAAACTATTTTTCTCGCTATAGATTTTACACCAGATCTGCTCCGAAAAAAGTAAGCTCTACACTTCACTACTCAAAAGAAAGAACTATTCCTCAGAAGAGTTTGTTCAAAAACACGTACTACAGCCAGTATGCAGAATAGTATCTCCATTGGTGAGGTACCGTAGGTGAGAATGATAATGAAATGCCATAAAATTAAAATTGCACAAATGAAACTACAAGAACCGCGCAGCGACTGATTGTTTTAATGGTTACAGACGTTCTGCAATACACATGGGATCGATCCCGTACCTAAGGCACAACAAGCCTTCCATTGTTCCGGGGTCGGCAAATTGGTACCAGGCTTGTCTGGGAGGATAGCAGCACTGGCCCGATATATCGGTAGGCCACCGCGAATTATTGTAAAGGCTAGATATACAATTAATCACCTCCAAACGATGCTTAATGAAGTCGTATGAATGGCGCATCCCTCAGGGATTGATCGACAGAGTGCTTAACCCCTTTATCTTATGTGCTACTTCATGATAAAAAGATCAATTTCTACATCTATTAACTTCTAGTTGCTGCCCCATCCTTCTCCATAGAAGAGCACTATATGAAAAAAAACCTTAATGTTAATTTCTATTTAACTGATTGGGCATTTTCGTACGTCCGATTTCACTATAGTGAAAGAACAAAGAAGTGAAAAATCCTGCTTAAATTCCTAAAAGTGTAAAGTACCCACTACTGAAAGTATAGCTACAAAAGTAGTAAATTAGGAAACCATACTGTTCTTCATTAAAATGAATACTGCGAACAAAAAGAGATTTCACAATGTTTAACGTTTTGTTTTCTGCCTTCTATAATTTTCATGGCAGGTTATTAAGCGAAATACAACCACAACGTTGCTGAGATATTTGCAAAACTCTGGACCGCAGGTGTCTATGGTGGGGAACGAACGCGCTATTATCCTTTCCGGGGAGTAACGCGTTCACCACCACACCATGCGGGTCCTTTGTTTCGCACGTCTCTCAGCTATTTCTATCGATCTTTTTGCCACAGCAATCACCCGTCAGCGGGGTTGATCTGGGGAGCGCAAATCGGCATAGAACCCAGTTAAGCTATGGCTGTAGTTGAAATCACAATGTTTAACGTTTTGTTTTCTGCCTTCTATAATTTTCATGGCAGAAAAAGAGATTTATTTTAAATTTTTACTTACTACCTACTCTTTTTCATGGGAGAATAATATGTGAAATATAAACACAGCGATGCTCAGACAAGAGCAAAATTCGTACCCTCTGGTGCGTTTCGAACCCGTAATTACCCTCTTCAGGGACTCATGTGTTATCCGCTTCACCAATCGAGGCTCTTGCTTTGCTTTTCTCTCAAGTAGTTAGAACATTGTGATGTCGACTGCAGCTTCAGCTTAACTGGGTTCGATACTAATTTGTGCCCATCAGATCATTCCCGTTGACCGGTGATTGTTGGTAGGGACGGTAGGGCAAAAAACTGGCTAAGAAAGCAAAGCAAGGGTCTCAGTGGTGTACTGGATAAAAAAAATTATTCGTACACCCCCAAGTTTTCACATTTGCATTTAAAGTCACCTCATTCAATAACTGAATCCGCACGAATCCGTCTTCAATACATTAATATTCATCCCTCAGAGCCCTGCACTAGTTTACACCACTTCATCGTTGCTGGCGGAGTTTCTGGGGACCGAAATCCGATAAACAGTAAGATCTCAACCTCAGCAATGTCTCCCAAGCGGAAGAGACGACATTTCCACAAGAAAGCTCTGAAGCCAATGCTAGGTAATAGCCGTACTGCCAAAAACTGGTTGCAAGGTGGGAAATTCCCCTGCATTCAGGCTGATTGTGGTGCGAACCAGAGAACGATTATACGGAGACTCAATTAAAAGAAAAAGTTGCCTCACCAGAAAATTACCACCCGGGAAATGGAGACTACGCTACGCGAAAGCAGTTGACTCAAGGATTCAAGCAATCCGTTGAAAACTGATTTCTTTGTAGGGAAAGTGTATTCTTACTTGTCAAATTATGACTCATTAATGTATATGTTCAAAGAATTTTGCCCATGCCGAGATAAAACCGGAACTTGTTGGAATGCTTAAATCTCAGCAAGAAGGAACTACTCCTGGCAGAATTTCTTACCGGTACCTGGTGGTCCAGATCGGATTCAATCTATCTTGTTGCTACCTACTACTACTGATGGATTTCTATCCGGTAGCACGAACCTTGGCCCCCGTAGAAGAGTTATAGTAACGAAACGAAAAGTTTCCCTCAAATCCACGACAGTAAAGAACTTCCTATACGGCGAATGTGAGAAAGTCACAGTATATGTAGCTCAAATTCCCAGGAAAATTACACTCGACTAACGTTCACTATGTCAACGAAGAGAGAAAACAAATCATCAAGTCGCAATCAAATCCGCAATCTCGCCACCTCTGCGAAACGCTGTTTGGCCAAGTTTCACATCAACATAGCAAACGTGTTACTTGTCATTTTGATGCCAATCATCGCTTAGGACGCTTCATTTATATCCACATGAAAACATAGCTTTTTATCGATCAATTTTTACGTTTACAACTTATACTGAGCCATTTTGGAAAAGTACAGAGAACTTCTTTTTGCTGGAAACAGCTTAGACCACATCTAACTGAGAACACCATATCCCAATAAAATAATCAATGTTGCACGAATAGAACCAAACGAATTAACGCGACTAACACCGTAATGAATAGCGAAGACCTACGAGCAGGCGAATTCCTTGTTATTTTGATACAGCTCAAAACACACCGTGCTAAAACATTCACTACAAGCGAGTAAGTCTAGAGGAACCGATAATAAACTGTTCACAAGTTCAAAACAACTTTTGAAAGGATAAAGCTCTCGGCGTTGATCTATCTCTTAAGGGATGCGCAATGCATTCGACTTCAATAGGCATCCTTGGTGAATGAATGCACATCTAGCCTTTACAATGTCTCGCAGTGGTCTATCGGTGTATTGGGCCAGTGCTGCTATCCTCCAAGACAAGTATGGTATAATTTTGCCGACCTCAAAGTGATGAAAGACTTGGTGGCCATGGAGCGTGGCGATCGATCCCATGTGTATTGCTGCGAGCCTCGACCACTGCGCCACATGCGTCACAATGACTTTTAATCATGTCAAATTAATATCAGCAATCGACACTTAGCACTAGATACCTCCCAGTTCGTAATGACATTCCAAAACGTTGAACGAGAATGTTTACGGTCAGTCATAAACACAAGCGAAATGTGAAATTCCCACTATTAGAACACAAAAACCTGAACTAGTTTTGGTGAAAACATCACGAGTAATATTTGTCTACCGTACCAAAACCGTCTCCTCTCAAAAGCGTCCATGTTAACACGATAAAATCAAGCGATGGGAAAGGTTTTAGTAAAAAATGAAGGTGTAGTTGAGCTGTGAATGGAGGTTTTAAAAAATGAAGCAATTCAAATACCCTAAATTTGTCATAGAAAAACCCTGCATTGAGAAATGTGTTGCTCTCGTCACCACTGTATTCTGACGACGGACCTAATAGGAGATTATTTAATTCAACTCTGAACAGTTTCCTCCCCAATTAATCATAATTTCATGATTCAATAGTGTCTAAATTCAAAACAAGTCCATGTAAACTTTCTCCATAGTCTGAATTTCCCCATAAGCTGGAAAGCGAATTATGACTGAACCTTCCCTGGCAACGTGAAGTTATGTTGGAAATCTAAATGCCAAAGGCGATATTCGTAAAGAGACCTAAGAAACGAAGTTTAGTAAACGACTGCACTTCTTATTGACATGGGACGAAAAACTGCATGCATATAGCATTACGAAAAGATTATATCTCTCATGGAATTGTGAGGTTGGACAGAAGGAAATTTGACAATGGGTTTACAATTTTAGTTCTTAAACTCATAGCGGAATTCTATCCATAGAAATTCTGATTTACAAGGATAAAAAGAAAAAGCTCTCGGCGTTGATCAATCCCTGAGGGATGCGCCATGCATTCGACTTCATTATGCATCGTTGCAGCTGATTGAATGCATATCTGACCTTTACTCGCGGTGGTCTAACGATGTATCGAGCCTCGAGCCAGTGCTGTTACCCTCCCAGACCAGTCTGGTACCAATTTGCCGACCTTAGAGGAATGGAAGGCTTGGTGGACCATGGACACGGGAATCGATTCCACGTGCGTGTCGCAGCGGCGCCTCCAACCACTGCACTACACGCGCCTCTTTTACAAGGAAATAAAGGCAATTATACGGAATTCTTTTTAAAGGCTACACTTTGGTAAGAATTTTTACCATTAATAAATAAAAGGACTACATGTATGACTGCCATTTAGAAGATACTACAGTTGTAAGGTTCAAGAAAACCTCTCGATTGCCCATAGGATAAAAATTCTTTCGTTTCATCTCGATGAAACCCAGCTTTTCTAGAGCCAATGCCACATGTTTTTCCTGCTTCATCCTTTCGAAGCTCATATTCCAATCAAAAAAGCGCATGACTAAGCGGGATTTCGTGAGGCACGACATAAAGGTATTCGATAACATATATTTTCCTAATTTTTCACATACTGAGTGAATCCCAGGACTTCTTGCTTTCGCTTCGTTTCCCTTTCTATTCATCGTTCACAATGCTCTCTTCGAACATTTCGTCCGTTGTTTCGCCTGCTGCATGATGATTTTCTCTTTTTTATGAATGTCGTAAAATGCTCGTCGAGCAAATTTTCCTAGCAAATAACAGGTAGCAGAATGGTTAGTGATGTATTCCAACAGGAAGCAAAGTATGGATTCGACCACATCACAACCACCTTGCTCCAATTCACGTGGGAACGCCCTAGTACGGCTATCTTCACGATTATAAGGAAAACTGACTGGACTGGCATTACAGATAACTCTATTCTTTCAAAGCTTGTATTTTGGTGAAAATGGCGAGTGATAAAGCGGGTTTTCGTGATGCATTCGTGATGCGTGGTGTTTCGTAATGTATGGTTTTATATTCCTAGCCGCTAGTTCTCTACCGGAAGTTTTGAGATTCTAAATCTCGTCATCCAGTTTTAAAGATTTTAATTCTAAATATATTCAAATTGGAAATGACCAACAATCAATGCGACTGAGCAAAGGATCTTCTATAAATTTCAAAAGTCCTGAACTAATATACTCAAGTAATCAGGAAACTATCCAAAGTTATCGAAAAACCAGCTCTGTCGCGAAAGGCTTAGATCACAAAAAAATGTGTAGTCGTAGACAGCAGCAAGGTTTCAAGATTATAAAAACCAACTTGGATCGAACTTCAGTGACATATCCACGAAATGTTTCGAGTCCGGAAACATAAAGGAGTCCTGTACAGTCTTAAGAATTGGACCATCGCAATAGATTTGGCTGAAAGCAAAAAAAGTAAAGTAAAATAACAATGAAGAAGAACTAGGAATTCAGACCAATACTGAAGAGACATCATCGTAACTTTCCCACGAATGATACAACCACAATGATGCTGAGGCGTTTACAAAACTCAGTACAGCGGATATCTGCGGTGGGGAACGAACACACTACTACCCTTTTCAGGGGATGACGCGTTCATCACCACACCATGCGGGTCCTTCGTCTCGGCTTTCGTGATTTCGACTAGAGCTTCAGTTTAACTGCGTTCAATGCCGATTTGTGCTCCCAAATCAAGCTCGTTGATGGGTGATTGCTGATGGCACTGGTAGATAAAGAACTAGTTGAGAGAAAGACGAAATGAAGGACTTGCATGGTGTGGAGGTGAACGTATTTAGCCACAGGGAAGAGTAGTAGCGTGATCGATCTTCACAGCAGATACCTGCGGTCTGGAGTTTTGCAAATACCTCAGCATCATCGTGGTCGTGTTTTCCACTAGTCATAAGGAACTATATAAACACCGTCTTTTTTTAAGCATTTCTGTAACATGGTTCACAGGGGAGAAATATGTCTCCTAGTACGAAGTGAAAAGGAATTCTATGGCATCGCGTCGTTCGACATACCTCAGTACCGATAAAACCGTGTAAAGCATTGCCTATAAAGCGAATCTATGGTTCACAGTTGAGACATCATCAATTGCTTATTTGTTCAGTGACTAAGAAATCTGAAAGAAAAAAAGAAACCACTTTGTAATCTGACGGACTAACGAGTGTACTCCATGAAGAGATTGGCATAAGATAGAAGATTGAGCAGTAACTCTATAGTCACTGTAGGTATCACTCAAATGAAGAGCCCAAACGATAGAACGAGGAACAGACACCGGTTTTCTAATCGAAGATAATTAAATCATTTACACTCCATCAAACGGTGACATCATTACTCTGGCAACCCCATGGGGGAATGCTTAAGAAGTAGAAGCACATAGGACAGAAAGACCAGACACTAATCTGCAATGGCCTATTCAAATAGTTATTTTTGGAGAAAATAGGACGCTTGTGGCGCAATGGTCGGAAGCGCCCTGCAATACACATGGAGTCGGTCCCTAGGCCCCAGGTCCACGAAGCTCTCCATCGCTCCGGGCGGCAAATTGATAGCCGAGAGCTTCACCCCTTTGAACATTGGAGAAAATACTATTTAAGCAACAGCATTATAACAATATCATTACTAATGAACAGTGAAAAGTTTCATAAGAGTGTGAACCCTAAAAGAACAATTCATAACTCCATTGATGTAGGAATGGATCCTAACACATGCCAGCACCATAGTACCTTTTTTCACCATACTTTCGTAATCTAACGTTCTTTTACCACCTTTGTGTTTTACTAGTTGAGTCATTAAAGGAAAGGTGACAAATAAAACGCTTTAAAACAAACAATAAAGATAACCTAAGATAGAAGTGCAAACAGTTCCCGAAGCTGTGTAGTTCATTTCCGAGTTGTTTTCTCAGTCAATACGAAGAAATACTTGAAACTAAATGCTTAAAGAAAGGTATAGATAAACCTAAAATGAAGAAACTTCCAGACTAAGACGAACTTTAAGGTCTTAGAAGCCGCTAGAACCTACCCTCCAGCTTCCAGAGCGCAGTAAAAACCTAGACAACAATGGGAAGGGTTTGAACTTATTTGTTACTTAAACTACCTAGGTGCTTTACAACACTAGAAAACTATACAAAACAACCACACATGTTTACATTGTTTATTTAAGCGGGTTCGAGGGATTTACACAAGGACACAAAGACAAACAATGAGTGCTTCACGCAAACTCTGGAAAAAAAAAGCCAAGTAGCGCTTTAGAGTTGGGCTATTTTCGAAATATATAGACCTTTTTGATAGCAAGTAACATCTGTAGAGCATCTGATGAAAACGAATAACCTTTGCGACAGAAAATGACATTTGTACTGGTTTTTTGGGGAAAATGGTAAGGCACAGACTGGTCTGAGCCTAATCGTTGCCGACAAGAAAGAGATCGATCAATCAAATACTTAGTAAACCACGAGAGAAAACTTTGAAAAAGATGAATATGATTGGAAATCTGAATGATTACTAGTAAGATGGAGGTCAAAGAAGAATGCAATAAGAATAAGCCACGCTTTTAGAAATTAAAGACCTTAAACTCCAACGTTAAGAACTTTGGAACGAAACGACTCTCAAGCGATCCGATTTCGTCAGAATTTTGTATGAATTGACTTATATTCAGTTCGTCTGAAGGTGATAGGACAAAGAAATCACGATGAAGCGATTATGTCTTTATCAACGAAACGACTCGACGAAAGTTTATAGGCTTAGAGAGCATCTTAAGTGCTTTAGAGTCACAACGGGCGGCTTCGAATTACAATGGCAAGTGTAACGAAACCTATCCGACGAGTTTACAATAACTTTATTGCCCATACGTAATAAGATCTAATCACGCGATGAATACGTATTGATGGAAAAGTTCAGGAAGATCTTTCGTATCAAAATGATGGTGAAATCACTAAGGAACTAGCGAATGTAAGAAGGTACTAGGAAGAATGCTGAGAAAACAGGCCAAAAATCGATGAAGAAAAATGCGTTAACAGCACTTTAGAGAAAACTTAGTTACGAGTTTCTAGGAAGAATATGAGATGAAAGAAGAAAACTCTTCCGTTTTTACAAGTTAAGGTTAAAAGATATCGAAGGGAACAAGGAGGAAGACACTAATGAACTTCTTGGCTCTCGAAACGAAGTCGGATCATTTTCTAGCACTTTCACTTCCTCATTTGTAAACAAACTTCGTAATGTTTCCTTCAATTCATACAATCGAGATAGAGCTCTATAAAGAAGTGACATTATAATAAGGTAATTAACGATATGGTTAAGGAGTTCGAGAAGCTCTTAACGAAAACGACGAGTTCACGAGAACAAAGAGAACAGAATCTCATTGAACTCAGGGACCATCAAGATCGAAATTGATTTATAAGCTCCTTAGACGGCGATGACGTCATGTGCGATGTGTTTTTCTATGGGAAGCTGAATAATCCCAACTTTTCGAAGACAACAAACTACTAGTTCAATAGAGTTCCATATGCCGTGATTCCCATGAGTTTAATGGCCCCAAGTTCACGGTCTCCTGGCTGTCCTACCATCCAGAAGTGCCGTTCTTCCACAATTCCATAACAGACACTAAGGTGATTAACCTCATCCTGTACGAAACCCAGTTGCTCAACAATCAGTGACAGGCTACCTTCTTACGATGATCGGACGAGCTATCCGAGAGCAAAAACGATGAATGGTGGAGCACGACGTTACCACTTGGAGCACCGATAAGATTCGAGCTACTTCAGGAGCTTCTACTGCAAATTTGCTGTACTTGCAAAGAGTAGCTGAAATTAGAGGTTATCTCGTTAAGATGACTCTACAGGAAGTAAGAAATTGTCCTGTATAAATAAAAAATATGCCAATCCAAACGATCACATCCTCGACACCTCGCTGGCGACCGACGCGATGTGTACGAGTTACCTCGTCATGTGGGTGACGTGCCATCACTACTGACTTTTTATTGTTATAAGTTATTTATTGTAAGTTCTGGGTACCATCGGTTCTCTTTGTTCCTAAAAAAATGATTGTTTTGACATTTTGAAGCGTTCTTATCGTCTTCAATGTGATTATTTATGTCCTCATGAGCCATTGTCCATTACAAAACAGATGAGAGTTCGAGCTCTTAGAGTTTGTGACTTCTATAATAAGAATTTTACGAACTCCCCTTTCGTTCCTTTTGTTTGGGTTGGGCTTACTTGATGACTTAGAATCTTGGGATACTTTAAGGGTTAGATTTTCGTTCTCAAATGCTTCAGTAGTCTGGGTACACTTGGGATACTTTTATCGTTAGGTTTCCTTTCTCAAGTCCTTTTATAGTCTAAGTGCACAATTCAAAGAATAAAAATTTTGGTATTCGTTTTTATGTTAAAGAAAAATCACATTCGCCAGTGTACAAAATACACTGATGAATATGGGCTTGTTTATTTGACGTATAAGCTTGATAAGTGATGGATCTTCATAAGGTCTCAATAATCGAGCTGCTAGTAACTCCATCTGTTCCAGGGTTTCTTTTTCAACATGCAGGCAGTACAGGTACTGAAGAAACTGTTCGATAACTACAGACAGACAACATCAGGAAAGCTGAAAATCATCGATGCTTATATGTTGTACATCTTGTTGACAGGGATCGCACAGGTGCTTTTTCTTTTCCGCCTTTGTTATGGGAATCTGGAAACGAAATACAAAAGGATTAGACAAGTAAAGACTTCCTTAGATTGATGTTTTCTTTCAGTTCTCGAATGTTGAGGTTATTCGTATAGGATCGGAGTCGATAAAAATAGTTTTTCAGTTTCTGTATTGCGTGCTGGTTGGAACGTTTCCGTTCAACTCCTTCTTGTCCGGATTCATTTCCACTATCACATCGTTTGTCCTGGCTTGTAAGTAACTATTTGGTGTGATTTTTATTTTATAGTTTTTTTTACAGTTACCACGTTTGTTATAGGGAAATTTTATTTCATTTTTTTATTTTATTTTATATGACCCATCTTGACGTCTACTGTGCGGATCCCAGCATTTCTCACATCCGATTCATTTCCTCGCATCCACTGTCCACGAAGATCTTCTAACTTTTTTTGGATTCGGTTGCTGCTTGATGATTTCTCACTCCGTCTTGAATGTCGTAGAATGCTGGTCGAGCAATTCTCCCTACAGACCTGACGTAGCCGGGCTAGAGCGTTCACAATTGGATTGGGGAGAGTGATTTTTTTCCCAGACAAGACCAATTTCCCGGTCCCCGAGGGTTGGGAGGCTTGGTTAGCCCGGAGCGGAATTGAACTAGCACTACGCTCGTGATGACGGACATCACTGCTACTGTGCTCTCCGCCCTCTTTATGGCTTATCCAGCATCTTCGTAGGGAAATATGCTTAATAAATCCATTATCTTTAGCCTGAAAAAGTACGTCCAAGGGATATGTTCGAGCCACTTTGGTAGCAATCGATACAGCAAAAAAATCGTGCGTGGGGGTGGTGGGATATGTAGAAAAGTGCAAAAAAAGAGCTGATTTTTTTCTATACGATTATGACCTGTTTAACAATCCGTGCTTTTATACTTGGAGTGGGTATAACGCAGTGGTTAGTGGTGCTGTCGATCAGGAAGCGAAAGGTGCAAGTTTGATCCTCTGCTCAACACTCTCCTCCAATTCACGTAGGAACGCCTTAGCCTCGCTATCTCCAAGATTGCAAGGAGGATTTACTCGACCAACATTCTACGGCATTCATGAAAGAAATAAAATTCTCGAGTAGCAGCTGAAACAACACGCGAAATATTCGAAGACCCTTATGGATGATTGATGCGAGGAAATGAATCGAATGCAAGAAATGCTGGAGTCCGTTCAGTAGGCGTGATAACGGGTTATGCAAAAAAATTTTTGTTCGTAATTTGCTGTAATTCCGCGTGTCTTCTTTACGACAGGTCATCCAACATCATGTCCGCCATATTCGTAGAGTATTCTGTTGCCTGTTTATCGAAAGAATAATGCGTCTCTACCTGTTTTTGATCAAGTTTTAGGTTTTCATTAACAGAACTCTGTGCTTCGTCAAGTGGTTTGGGTACTATTTCTGCTTAACTGGTACTTGTTGGAAATGTTAAGGAACGACAAGCGAGCAGCTGAAAAGTCTCAATCAGTAAATATTGGAACAGATTGCTACTGTTACTCCTAAAAGACTCCAGTTACTCTAGCGGTGGTTAATATGTGTTCCTTAAACAGTCGCAGTGATAATTTTGCTTAGTAACCTGATTGAACCTCCCCTAAGTTTTGCGTTATGGCGATATTGTTGGCGAGCTTGGAGAACACACTGAATAAACAAATAAGCTGGTAGCCCGGAAAATCCTTTCGGTCGCTCTTCATGGACAGGCTTTATAGTGTTTTTACTAGCTGTTCATCAAACCTGTTTTCATGACTTCATTTAGTAACATTTTCGTTGTGCTACTGTGAATTCTCCTTCAGAGTTCCTAATCAGCTAGTGTTTGGTTGCAGTCGTTTCAGGTACACTGCGTACCGGTCTAACTTTCTTCTTTATGAATTTTTTCTGTCAGAAAATTTAGAGAGTTTAGCCGTCAGAAGCAAATTCCACTAACTAATGAAACTTTTCTAAACAAGGATTTCGTTTATTTGACCATTATCTGACGATGGCTTGTCGTGGTCGCCTTACGATGAATTATAGGCGATAGTAATTACTAGTAGAGAAACGGGGTTTGTAGGATTTATTAGTTGTTAGGAATTACTGTAGGGTTTCCTGTTATAAAATTGTCTTGGTTAACCAAATGGTCCTCATTATTGATCTATTAAACTATGCCCGTTGAAGTATTTGTTAGGCATTAATGTAAAACCTTATCAATTCTGGCGAAGCACTTTTGCTAATGTGTTCAAATACGTTTTTCCATGCAGAAATACTTTCTGGGAGAGATTATCATTGGAAATGGCAATCAACCATTCTATGTAAATCATTTTTGCATGTTTCCATAAAGAAGATACCCCCTTCCCCTACGTGAGTTGACACAAAATTCCATATGGTTTTCTGATGGTGGTGGAATCCAAAAGGGGATTTATGTTATGAACTAGTGCTTAATAGTTATCACTGTGACTGCAGTCACTAACTGCTCAAGTTCTGAAGCTATGTTGACTTTGCGGGTTCAGAAGCAAAGGAAAAAACCCGATAAAGTTCCCTTTTTTGCATAATAGTGAAATTTTATCGTCTTTGGTATCGTATATTCTCCAAATCTCGCTCTTGGGGATTTCTTGTCACCAAGTTCTACCCGGAAAACAGAATCTTCCAAGTTAAATGTCGGTGCAGCTCGCCTCACCGGGAACTCTGTATCTCGGCTATCGTGGGATCGGAGAGAGAACCGACTCGGTCAGCGTCCAACAACATTCAAGAAGAAGAAGAAAAACTTGAAACAGCAGCAGAAGTCACAGGTCCGGAGACTTTCGTAGATGACGGATGCCAGGAAACAAATGGGAAGCAAGAGGTGTTAGTATCCGTAGTGCATGTAATGTCGAGTTGTGTAAAAAGAACTATCAATGCCTGTAGAAGGAGTTTCTAGCAGTTTCTCGTGCATTTAAAGTTTGCGGCAAATAAGCACTGCTTTGGAATGAAACTGTATTTCTGTGAAGTTATAAATTTTCGGAGGAACTTCTAGTATTGCCTTACTTTTCTCCATATTATAAATGTTTTCAAGTGACAGCGCGGTGAACATAAGAGCTTAGTAAGGAATGCAAAAATATGTTTATTAGTCGGTCATTATACAAAGTATGCATTTAAATACACAGAAATGTTGTATCATGTTGGGATTAGCAGTAACGAGTTTTAGCAGCAAAAAACAGCATTTGCATTGAGGATCCGAAGCACTTCTGAGTGCTCCTAATGATAACACAGAATTAACGGCGGTTTTTGATTCGCAACAGATTCTGGAGGCTTGAGTCATGTTTGTGGACGAATAATGGGCTGGTAACACAGTGTAGTGATGCAGACCACGAGCACGGTGCTGGTTCGATCCCGCCACGAACTCACCAAGCCCTCATACCTCCGAGGTCGGGAAATTGGCAGCGGACCAGTCTAAGGAAAGTTCACTTTCTGTAACCTAACTGGGAACGCTTTATCCTGGCTACCACACGATTAAGGTTGAATCGACTCGACCAGTGTTCAACGAGATTCATGGTGAAACGAGAATCCTCAAGTAGCAGCCGAAGCTATGCGTAAAAAATTGGAAGACGTTTATGGGTGATGGTTACGAGGAAACAAATCGTATGGGAAAAGTGCTGGTATCCGCGTAGTAGTTGCGAAAAACGGGTCATGTAAAATTTTGTAGGAAAAAAATTATGGCTCATATGTGGTGTAAAATTACCTTTCGACTTTCGGTAGGAATAGCTTAGCCTTTAGCAAATTTTATTAATTAAAGTAAAAGGAAAGAATATACAGATCTATTATTGCATTTACACTTTTGTCGAGAGTCGTGTTTCGAAAAGTGGTGCGATTGAATAAACCGCATCTCATTAAGTAGGGCAGGACAGTATCCACATACGACCTTCGCGGTTTCTAGGAATGAAGAGAAATTGTTAGGAGCTTCTTCGCTGGTTTTATAAAGATCTGAGTTGTAAATGGGTTTAAGGTAAAAGCAGCTCTTCAAAAAGAATACATATATGTCCATAGAAACTCTGTCTGCAAGGCTGAGAAATCACGTTCTCGAATACTCTGGAAATTAGAAAAGTTACCACCGATTATCAAAAAATCAGTATAGTTGCAAGCGGATTAGTAATTGACAGCTATTTTGGAATAAATTTCTAGTTAAATTCTATTTTTCATGAGCGTGGGACTCTCTTTCCTAGTCTGTTCTGATGTTTCACTCTCAGTATCTATCTTTATATATTTTATATCTATCTATTTTTATCTATATCTATTTGTCTATCTATTTTTATGCTGCACTTTAAGACCGCAGATGAAAATGCGAACATTTGAGTGGTTTTGTTCTTTGAGTTCGAAGTAAGTCGTTAGAAAAATTTCTCACAGTTAAATCATCCAGTTGCTGACAGAACTGTGAGCGAACAATTTTGGCAGAAACTTGGAGAAACGGGTGCATCACGGAGTTGTATGTTCAGGTGGTGGATGTGCTGACTCAGAGCTTGTAGTAAACATCGGTATAATAGGCAGTTTATGCTTAAAATAACTATTTGGGAATCCTGTAAACATTCGACTGACCTTTCACGCTATCTAAACCTTATTTAGTAATATTCCTTATATACGCTGACAAAAGGAACTGCATGTCTTGAGAGTCGTTTGTATTCTTTGTAGTGAGAGTTCAGGTTACAGGTGATGTCTTAGTGTACGAAAATAGTAGGTGACTCACTGACAGTTAAACGGAGACTGCCGGAAGTACGTTTTTTTTAAAAGCTTGCCTCAATGAGGGTTGAGATTGAGTGTGTCTTCCTCATTGCTTGCATAGTATGGGCTAAATCATTTAGTTCCTCCTCTTTCAGCATGTCTTCGTACTCAAGTGAACGATGAAAACAAAGCAGAGTTCTCGCACATTTCACCGGAACGAGCGTTTGCTGACTTCATATTCGCTCATGTTGTTTTGCATTTGGTTGTTGCAAATTTCCTAGGCTAGCTATGTTCCAGTTCGTCTCTGCAACTGGTAACAACTGTTTCTAGCTTTTTTTTCCTGAAACGAAGGCATTCTAACTGTTATTTCCACTAATTCGTCTTTTCGCTTTGAAGCTGTGGGAATTCATTTTGGTTAGTAAGTTGCTTTTTTCCTCTTTATCGGCTTTTGTTGGTTTAGATTTATTGACGGTTTTGTTTCCAGACTTCTGTTGAAATAAAATGTGTTGTTGAAGACATCAGAACTTGGTGTACATTGCGTCCTGACGCCTTCATATCAACATGTGTTTTTTTCACAAAGTTTTACTATTAAACATCACTTCAGTGCAGTCATGATTTATATGAAACCCATGCGCTTCGTCAAGAATGCTCTTACTAATCCGTCATAGTGAGTATTACTTCATTGTTTACTTGGATACTTAGATGGTCCCTTTTCACTGGTTGTGCTGTCCCAGCATAATTTCCATTTTTTCGGAGTTTTGCTAGCTTAGCAATTGTGTTTCCCTGGAATCCTGAGGTCGGCCTAGCCATAGTCAGCTCCGGGTCGTCATCACTGCAGACAGTAGCCGCCCTTGTGGTTCAGAGTGAGATTTGCCACCATGTAACTAGTTTGACACCTCAGCTCGGGTGGCTCTGCTGGAGTGATAAGTCCCCCGCTGTACATCATAGCCCAGCAGCCAGGAACATTTCCCAGCCACAGTGAGGCGTTAAACCGTTGAGAGGCATTGCTTCATTGCTGTCGTCAAATTATGATTTGCTCTATTGCAAGTGTACCCCTAGTGAGATCCCGTCGCTGTTTGCTAACAATCATCTGTTCTTTCATTGGCTTATAAGTTGGTTCTAGAATTATTTGAAGGGAACGAATATTTGGTTTAGTTATTATTTTCCTTTTGATGGATAGGTCTAAATAGTGAATAGGACGTCGCGAGAAGTACTACATTGCACGGTCTTCAGCAATTTACGGTAGCGCATTTGCATCTGGCTAAAAAATAAGTGCTACACTTCGTTGTTCGTAAGGAAGAAATGGTCGTTTCGATTTTCTCCCATCATTTCCCTGCACGGATGCAAGTAAATCGGTCAATTGGCCATTCGTTAGCTTATGTGCAAACTGTAGAACACAGAGTTGCTGGTGAAAAGGACATATAGTGTCTTTTTTTGTACGTGAGAAACAAGATATTTTAGGTGATGGGTTGAAAGCCTTTCGACGAAGATTATGTGGTAGCTAATATGGTCGCCGTCGGAAATTAGGCGTATTAGATAGTTAATGTCTTCCTCTATGGCAGACGCGGGGTTATTAATGCGAGATTTATTTAACAATTGTTAACGTCTGCGCAGTTTCACCTTTTTCAAGGCCTGGGAAGGTCAGATTGGTACGCAATATTCCTAGGCGATTACTTCCAAATACTTCGTGACCTCAGCAGAAAAAACTGAGCACCTAAATTTTAATGGCATGGGAACAGTTTTCTTTTAAATGCTTATCCTTCCGTTCTTTCTAAGTCTCATACAAGACCAAAACATTCCTTGCCGATGTAGGCTGTGCAACTGGCCTCCGTCAATAAGTTGAAGACTTATAGAAGATGGTGAGTCTTTTGAGAAACAGTTCCTCATGCGATTGACGTTTAGGTTTTGAGTTTTTTCCTGTCGGGGTTATGAAGGTGTTTGGTTGAGTAGATAACGTGCCATTCTGACTTTCTCAGGTGTTGAAGACAAAACTCCTCACACGCCAGTGTTAAATAAATCTTCGATGAAGAACTTAGTTTCTGTTCGAGGAGAATATATTGACGTACTGATAAGTTCCGAGATTAGTGGAGAGTTGGTTGTGGGTGTTCAGGTGTATTAAGCATCAATTTTCTAGCAACACCACTTTATACTATTGGTACTAACTGAGGTATCGTCAGCAATGTCGCTTGACGTTCCCAAAGTTCGAGTACCATTATCGTTTTCCTGTCTCAAAAGATGAAAGTGGGAAAGTTTAAGGTACAAACACCTATCGTTACCAGAAATTCAGATTTTTTTGCTTGTTTGATCGATTTTTAGATATTGTTATCTGGGATATAAAGTGCTAAGGTGATCCTACGCCTCCATAATATTTCTAGGAAAAATGTGAGAGATCCCACTCTACTCGTCGCATCTAGGGGTGGCAGAATGTATATCGCAGTGGTTTTCCCTTCCGGATTTTTGTACATTCTTCTTAGTAGTGGTGAATCGTACATTGTCCGACCTCAGCAGGTTCTGACAGAAGGATTTAAAAACCTTACCAGCTGTAATATTCGAAACACTATCCCTGATTTTCCTACGTAATGTCTGGAAATTTTTAATCTATATGTGGGCAATGGAGAACCAGAAGTTCGTTGTGAGGCAAGTGAGGTACATTAATGCATACCTGACAACGCTTAATTCTTGGTTTTTTTCTCCATTTCTCTCTAAATGAGAGGAAAAGTGCTAGCTGTTCGCCAAGTTAGGTACGTGTCAATGTCAACGCATAAGGTCCACTGTGCTCCCAGGAGAAGGTATTTTGTATAGACCTCTCTTACTCTAATGGTAAAAGAGGTAGTTGATGGCTGCGGATCACCTTTTTCTGTATGTTCCGCGAAGCACACCGTATCCTTTCGTCTGCGGCCTCACCAATGGAAGCCAGTTGACTTGGCTTAGTTCTTTGGATGAACTGTTACATGATGTTCAGCTGTTCGCTTGAATCGTCATCTTCCTCTGTCTGCTCGTCCTTTGCCACGCGGGTCATGCGTATGATGTCTCAATAGAGTAAATCTCAAACTTGTGAAGATAAACCATTTTTAACAACAGCGATTCAGTGGTAATGATATGACGTCATCGTGAGAGTACAAGTAGTGAAAGGATAAAAGAATCCGTATATGCGAATAAAATAAAGAGTCATAAGTTACCCTGAGATAATAGAGTAGCTGAGCCATAGTTTAGTGTAGTATAAGGAAGAGGTTTGAGATGAAATACAACTTGACCAAGAAAGGTAAGCAGGAAGTGGTAGAGTGAGAAGAAATAGGGTCAAATGGTTGGGCACTGACATAGAAACATGGAATCCAACGACAACGGTGCAGTGAGGTTAATATGTCAGGGATACAATCGAGTTGTGATGGTAAGCTTAGTTACTAGACATGGTCAGTAGTTAAAAGAGAGGTTTATAGGAGGCTTAGTTGACCTAAGAGGGGTTTAAGCGGCGGCCATGTATGTGTGTACTGTTGCACGAAATCTTTAACCACTACATTTGGAGCTCTTTCTAAACCACTGGGGTACTAATTTGCATAGAGGCGGGGTCGAACCAGCCACCAGTATACATGCATATACCTACATATGTATAGCTTCTTGGTTATTCAGTAAGTTTAAGTTCCCCTAGAAGTGCGATGATGCTATGCTAATTAATGATTTTAGTTACCCTACCTATGGAGCTTATGGAGCATCGGCGTTTTTATTGGCAATATACTTCTGTGAATGGAAGACCGTTGGACAGTACATTCCACTTTGGAACAAACGTTATGCGGCAGATTGAATAGGAATCGAAAACTGAATGAATAGATTGGTTCTGCTACAATGGTTGTAGTACTATGAAAAATCAATAAATTTTAGTTTACAATAGATTGTGCTCTTGGTATGGAGTTTATTCTTTTCAAATTCTAGTTTCTTTTGTCTAGCTCTTTCTAATTTGTCATTTTCGGTCAGATGTGTACTTTTTGACCAAAGGGCTACCAACAAACGACTATTGACCTTGGACGGGTTCGGGGTGGAGTATGACTCATTACGGGTAATTCGTCATTAGTAGAAGCAACCTATGCCGTCCATGGCGCACAGTGCTTAACTTTTTGGTTTATTTAATGTCATTTCTTGAGTACTATATTGTTTGTTATGTAAATATTTGCGTTAGCGTACGTTTTCTTATTCAGGACCCAGTAGAAAAGCTGACGGTGTATTCCTTTTGCTGGTCTTCATAGCCTTTATTGTTTTGTTTAGTCGTGTTCATCCTACGATAGGTTGTTTGTTCAATCCTACAAGAATCATTCATGACAGAGATGTTCAAATTTATTCTACGATTGCCTGATACAGCTGCAGCGGATGCGCTATTCTCTGAAGCATACGCTTGCCTTGACCAAGGACTGTGCTATGAAGAGTTCAACGATAGAGTAAGCTTCAAACTCTTTCGATTTTATTTTTTACTCATTACAACTAGTTGGCACTAGATGTGTGTTCTCCTTGTTTTCTTCGCTTCCAGTTTTAATAGGAAGATTGAAGGGGTACGCGTGGCGCAGTGGTCGAAGGCGCCCTGCAATACATATGGGATCGATCCCCGCGCACCAGGGTCACCAAGCCCTCCATTCCTCTGGGGTCGGCAGATTGGTACCAGAGTTGTCCGGGAGAATAGCAGCACTGTCTCGATATATCGGTAGGCCACTGCGAGTCACTGTAAAGGCCAGATATGCATTCAATCACCTCCAACTATGCTTGGTGAAGTCGAATGTATGGCGCGTCCTTCAGGGATTGATCACTGCCGAGCGCTTTATCCTTTTTCATTCTTTATTATCTGTATTTATCGATGAAATGGTTGTACTGATGGGTAGGAAAATGCTGCTTCAATGTACGAACGAGCACTAAACCTTATCAATGAAGCAGAGAAAGCGAAACATGCAAAGAAGAGTGAGTTGTACAAGCATCTCATGGAAGCCAAGCCGAGCGTGATTAATCGGTTAGTTGCTCATCTTTTAGGTTTCTGATAACTCAGTTTATAGTTTTAGTTCAGACTCAAAGTGTTGCAAAAGGAAATAGAGGAGTTTCAAGACCAAAGTAAATGTGATAGTGTAGACAAAGGAGAAGATAAGGTACGTTTTACAATAAGTTTCAGCATCAGCCCTTACATAGTTGAAGTCCGCAAACACAGCGTGATTATACGTTTTCTTTCTGAGTTATCCTACTTTTAAATCCTACTTATTCTTAGCTACCTGAGCTCATATGTTCTCAGATTTAGGTGAAATCAGAGCTCCGTGATTGCTTGGAAGGTGTAGGTGACGTTGAAGCTGATGTGATATTTTCGATTCCGAATGGAGTTCAGTTGTTCACTGTTGATGTATGTATTCAATCTTTTTAGTGTAGTTTCGTGTAGTGTGTAGAGGGCGCTCTGCAATACTTCCGAGCTCGACCCCAGCTCCCAAGGCTCCCCAAGCCCTCCATTCCTCCGGTATCGGCAGTTGGTACCCAGCTTGTCTGGGAGGATAGCAGCACTGGCTCGGTATATCAGTATGTCACTGCGAGTCAGTGAGGACCAGATATGCATTCATTTGCCTCTAATGATGCTCAGTGAAGTCGAATGCTTGGCGCATCCCTCAGGGATTGATCATCGCCAAGAGCTTTATCCTTTACTAGTGTAATTGCGGCGGAGAGTTCATTGAGCTGTTTTTAGAGAAGGTCAACTCGCTTTTTAACTTTTATAGGGTGATCAAACTACAGTTCCAACTTATCCAACATCACTCCAAATAATTCGTTTCAACTCTTCGAGTAAATCTTCTAAGTTACCGGACGCTCACGACAGCAACAAACTTTCTGCATTGATTCAGGTGTCATTTGAAGTCTTCTGTTGAGCTGGTATTGATATACGGATCGCTTTAATTATTTGTTTTATTAGTTGTACTTTTTTATTGTTAGACTTTTGGCAACAATTTCTCGTGTGAGTTCACAGCCTAATTGGTAACATTGGATTTGGAGGGAGTCAGTGAAAAAGTACTTTGTTTTATCAGTGTGGTTGCTCAATAATTTCCTAGATCATTGAGCTGACGCATAGTTGGTATAAAACTTTTATTAGGCTGAATTTACTAGGCCTTCGCCTTCTTCAGTGCCGCATTAGTCCGAGTCGACATGAATCCAGCGACTCCCGTTAACTTTAGGTGAATGAAAGTATTATACCAAACTCGTGTCAGGTCATCTAGAGAATTATTGATTATTACTGCCGAGGTTTAATGAAATCCAGTTTTTAAGGTATTAAGATGTGAATAGTATTACCATTATGAAGGTATCAAATTCCCTGGCTTACTATGGCCAAAAGGAGCACGTTTTTGAGATGTAAATCACATTAGTTGTGCAATTTGACTCTGTGTCACTATCTTCTACTGAGCTAGTTTTTTATACTGTTTACCCCGCTTTCTACAATCGTCAGGGATTGCTCAAGAATATTGAAAGTTATTCAGAGTGGTCGAGCATGTTTGTTATTACATGGCCTTTGCATTCCTTTCTGGAATTCTTGAAGACAACACGCTTAATTGTTCTTTGGTTTTTTACCAACTCATCTGGTATTTTGCTGGCTTTCATAATTTTTATCTCTGGTGTTCCGGGGTGGTTTGCCGCCTTATAATGGCTGGTAGGTGTTCCTGGGTGTCAGGCTACGATGCACCACGGGTGGATCCATACCCTTTCGTCGATGGTCCCTCCCAGTCTGAGAAGTCCGGCATTTCCACCAGGAAGATCAGGTAAGAATAAACTAAAACCAGGATCCACGGCCGTCCTGGTGCCAAAGTAGTCATATGGTGTTTTTATACTGTTTACCCCGCAAATCTCTCTGTTCTACGAGGGCGACAGCTGCTTGTGGTGATGACGACTGGGGCAGGCTTTGGCTAGGTCGATCTCGGGACTCCAGTGAACAACAATAACTGAATCAGCGAAACTGAAAAAGGGAAATTTCGCTGAGGCCCACACACCGACTAAGGACGGTCCATCCGAGTATCCAAGTAAGTAATTAGTTATGCTGGGGCATTCTCTTGTCGTCTCCACAGGTAATCAAAGGATCGTGTGGATTGAAAGGAGGTCTACCGCGTTGACACAGCGTTTCCTTCAGAATTACTGGTAGTTTCTCACAGGTTTACTGGCACAGATTTTGATCTAGAATTCTGGATTTCTCAAATGCCCGTGATGAACCCTCGCTATTGATCGCATTTCGACGTCAAGTAGCACCTTCCTCTGAAGTGGCAGAGCGTGGAATGGTCGTCGCATATTTCACACAGTCTGTTAACCAGTATTACAAATTCAAGTTGTTTTAAAAGGTGGTTTGTTTTGTTTTGTTGATATAGGTCCCATATATTTCTACTTCCTTCTTTGCGTGAAGATTAAAGCCGTAAAATCCTTTAAGAGTTTACAATTTCAACTAGTTGAAAATTGTTAACAGGACACATCTCTCTTTTTTCGTTAAATATGCTAATTTTACTACAGTTATTGAGATTCGTTTGATATAAATAGAAGTTGTTCTAACACCAGACCGTAGAGATTTTAGTCAGGAAGGTAGTAATGAATTGGTAGCCAATAATTTTTATTTTATTTCGAAACCGACCTTCCCTAAACCTCGGTGTGATAATCAATATGTATTCTTTCTTGATAAGCTTGCACGAGGCTCGACACGAAGGCGAAGACGCAACGTCGAGGCGAACAACAAGCATGGACCATCGACTCGGATCACCGGCTCTGAGGAAGACGAAGACCTCGAAACGTTAGCCGAAAATAAATTTTTATTTTACTTTATTCCTAGCTGAATAATTCCTCGATCATACAGACGCTGCCAAATACAACTTAGCGATTTTACGAATAGCAAAAAAGAGAGTTTTTGAAACTTACAACAGTAATGTAGTAGATTTTTCATGGCCCTACATAAATGCGTTCATTGTTGTGAAATCCTCTTTTATCCAGTATTTAGATAGACCTGGTAAAGAGATGCGCAGCTGAGTAATTCTATGCTGTTAGATTTTTTGAAAATTTTCAAAATGACGTACCTTTACTAAGGATAAACTTTATGTTCGAAATAACAACCGTTATAATTCAAGCCATCTTTCCAACGAGAAGCAGGTTTGTTTCGGTAACTTACGTGTAATTCTGGACTTTTGGAGGTGATGAGGTCGTTGAAGGAACTTTCGATATCGGTTTTGTTTTTAATCTCTTCTCGGACAGAAGGTTATCGAAGTGCTTGAAGAAGTGGTAGGTGGTAGGGGAGAGGTCTGAGCATGGTAAATAGTACAGACTTCTATAACTGAGCTAATTCAACTTTTGCAACAATACTAATGTGACACATGGGCGTGCGTTATGGTGGAGAAGGATTGGTCATTTCTGCTGAGCACTGGGAAATGCAACAGTTGAGGTTTCTGGTGCATTTCGCTGGTCACAGGGTAAGTGATCCTATCTGTTGCAAGACGAGAAGTCGTCTTAACCGTGGTTTGAGGCGTATTCGGGTTTGGAAATCTTTTGATAACTTCAATTCGTTGGAAACAGCGTTCTGAACTTATAAAGGGTTCAATTTTCGTTGCAGATCGCAGTATTATCGAGAAATAGACTGCTTTGTTCGGTAAAAGTAGCAGAGAAGGGTAATACCCATTCACCGAGTGTTTGACTTTTCAGTTATTGTCGTCGCATGAGAACCTGTCGTTGTTGTTATCGTCAAGTTCTTCCACCAATTGAGATGTTTTTAGAGAGCAAACTTTGATGGTTGTCTTCCGGGTGTTTTTGTATACTCTGACTTCGGTTTTTTTTTGCATGATTATTTGATGATTCTTCAAGATACTTTTGCGATGATATGTCCAGACTTGAACTTACGAAACAAAACGGCGCGACTTTTTTTTCGCTTTGAGAGGATTAATCCTGGAATTGTTTTAAGTTGAGCAGTAGAAAAAGGATAGGTGAGAAGTATTCGACAAACAAAGCTTTGGAATGGTGAATTGAAGTTGGCAATAAATAATTCTTACGAAATATACTTGTGAGATCCAAGATCGGATCCAAGGTTATAGAATCCACAAGCTGAAAGATGGTTTCTATTTTTGCATACACCTAATAATTCTCCTTATAGGTTGGTCCATGGGTTTATCCATTGGTGAGCGGAAAGAGTCCCATTTTACGAAACGATTTTGGAGCATACGTTGTCCCAAACCCAGTTGCTGATAATCCTAGTAAGTTTGCTTGAAGGAGGTGAATGAATATATTTCGGATTTAATTTCTGATTTAATAGGAACCCGTTTTAGATTTGGCGGTAGCTATACTACTACCTGCAGATATTGACCCTGAAGTTGCAAAGGAGTTCAGAGAAGTTAGTTGAGAGCCTTGCTTGAGGTATTCTCATCTATAATGAAATTTAGGTATTGGATCAATATGCAGATATTCGTGACCAGTATGTGAAGAAGGAACTTTCGGAAGAGGATAGTCGTCGTATTAGTCAAAAATTAACGAAGCTATTGATTAGCGGTCAGTATGGTTGTTGTTAGATTTTATACACAAAGCTGTTTTTTTTTCGGTATCTACCAAGTGATGTTTTGCTGATAATCCTAGTGAATTTCCGGGAACAATGTTCTGTTAACCTTGGCATTGAATTATAAACGCGTCGTTTTCTTTGTCAGGAACCTTTCTTAGCGGATTTAGTTAAAGAGCATAGATAAATCGATACCGACTAACGCATTCATCTGCGACCTTTAATGGCCCAAAGTTATGTTTTGTTCGTAATTGAGCCCTCTAGCGTATCTTCTACTTCCTTCATAAAGTAACTGTGCATTATTGCGATTTTTTAAACCTTTCTCTGAGTCCAGAAATAGTCGTACTAGGGTGTTCCCACTTCGTTTACAGGAAGTGAACTGTGCGCAAACAAGTCTGGTACAAATTCCCTGACTCCTCAGGGATGAGAGCGTTGATGAGCTCAAGCAATGACGAACTAACGCGGCGCTCTGTAAATGCGGCATCTTGTATTATATTATTTCTGTGGAATTTGTATCACTTTAGGAGGTGAGCGTGTTGCTTGGGGTGTTGATACAGTAGCAGTGAAAGTAACGTCGTATTTGGATGAAAAGGGAGAGAAGTAGGTTTCTTGATGTCTTTAGCGGTCGGAGGTTAGTGATTTCTGCTAGTGGCATTGCGTCAGTGCAGTGTGAAACGCATTAAAACTCATCTCTAATCGAAGTTCGTTGGAATAGAATTCACTTCTTTCCAGCAAATTTTACAAGTTATTGTACTGAAGAATATCATAAGGAGAATTATAACCTCTCAGTTGCATCTTCTCACATTATTGCAGTTTGCTAGATCTTGTAGATTATAGGCCATCGTTAAGTTGTTCACACATCCTTGTGTTATTTCCAGGTATAGAGCTGGATTAGAGTCGAGTGAAAAGCCTTTGACGATTAATCCAGCTGTAAAAGGAAGCCTAGTATATATGCATAAAGGCTCAAAATTGGTGGCCAAGTGCACCCGATATCTGCGTAAGTTTCTTAAGAAAAACTTCTTGTTTAAATGTTCGTTATGAAGGCGAACTTATGGAAGCTTGTTTTTGGCAGTTTCATAATTATTGTTTTAAAGTGGACAAAGTTGGTGATATGGGTGTTTCCATTGGACGATCGTTAGCTTCCGGTGCGGAAAGGACATTCGGTAAAGGCAGTGCTGGTGGTCTTGTATCCGGAACAATATGTAAGTGTTGCCTGATCAATCGACTGTTTAAATTTTGGGATTTAATTCAATTTTAGTTACAGTCTAGTTATTCGTGTAGTCTGCCTTGAAAATTATCAAGACCCACTTACATGTAAAGTGTGAAGAAAATTTTTTTAAAAATTTTTTTTTCACTTGTAGAAGTTGGGAAAGAAAACTCTATTTAGTTGGCTAGTCTGCTTCAAATCTCCAAACGGTTTACCGTCTGATCATGGCTCGGAGGTCTTCCAGTGTGTCGGGCTGCGATGTACAGCCGGGGGATTCGTTCCCCCGGCAGGGTCTTACAAGCTGAGAAGGAGTCTGGCATTTCCATCAGGAAAAAATCTTATTTCCATCAGGAATCTTAGCTAAGAGTAAACCAATACCAGAATTCACACCGTCCTGGTATCAAAGTCGCATGGTGGTAAATCTTCCTTTGATCCACAAAGGCTGCGACTGTGCCTGCCGTGGTGACGACCTGGGGCAGACCTTGGCCATTCTGTGCTCGGGGTTCCAGAGAACCACATTGGTTAAATCAACAAATCTCCGAAAAAGTGGAGATTATGCAGGGGCCCGCAAAACCAGTGAGGACGGGCCGTTCACGTATGAAGTAAGTTCCTCAGAAAGTGTCTAGATCTAATCACGTTTTTTTTATATACTAATCCTTCGCCTGGTATATTCTTGAAACTCCATTCTTAAATTCCATTTCTATTTTAATGATGAACTTAAAACTTAATTACAAATCTTGTCGTGTGTCATTCTAAACTTTTATATTCCAGCTGTACTTGGAGGTGGTATCGTTGGTGTCAGCACGGTGTGGATGGCGCTCGAAAACAATAGTCGTACTCTTTGCCGTAGCATTGCAGATCAAACCGTTCAGAGTGTTCGAATAAAGTTAGTGTTTCCAATTGTTAGGAACTGTGTCGAACAAAGTGTTGAAAATTATTGATGTCGAAGAAATTCAAAGCTCCAGTTATTACTGACCTCTTTTTTAGGTATGGAGATGAAGCATCAGAAGCAGCACATCATGCTCTTTTCGCAGCTGGACATAGCTCATTAGCCGCTGCCCAACTTTGGGATCTCGGACCACGAAGCATCGCGGGTCGAATGGCCAGACGTGCTGGAGTACAAGTATGATTACCAATAGTTTGTTGTGTGCTTTTCACTTCTATATGACTATCTATCATAATGGTAGGAGATGTTTGCAGATATTCTATTTGTTCACTGGTTATTTTCTTTCTCAAGAGATTTAGCGATAAGTTCGGGTTACTAAGTCTATGGGACCATTATTTGTGCTTCTTACTTTGCAGCTGCTTGATATTCCTTTTTTTAACTGCTTTGTTCTGTTATTTGTCCAGAGTTTTCTACATCTCGATCTTTCTAGCTGGTATTGATTTAGATGGTGAAAGATCTTCACGAGAAACGTTGCGGGGCGCCACTGCCAACAAAGTCAAAGCTCGACGATTAGTTGAAGCTTACCGATATACTGACAGATATCTTGAGTACTCCATCAAACACTTTACTGATTAATTTGTAATGGAAGTAACTTGTTTGGTAGCCTTAACGTTAACAGAAAGCATAATTATTTTGAGTAGATGTTTTTGTATTGTCTTTCTTGCCATGGTCAGATAATTGTGATGGACCAAGGTTAGTCCTGAACATCCTGTTTCTCGAATTATTGATACAGCCTTATCATTTTCAGTTAGCTGGTAGCTAATTCGTATTATAACAACAGTAATTAGAAGCACGCTTGAACAGAATAAATCTGATGACTATTTGAACTAATTAAAATACCTCTGTGGAGAAGTACTGTCTGCCAATTACTTTTTAAATATTAAAAAGTTAGTGCCACTACCTGCTTATCAAATCTTTGATTTGCTACTTAGAATGGCTATAAGTTGCTCGGCAAGCGCAGTTGACAAGCAAAGAAAAGTCAAGCTCAAGTAAGTAATTGTTTTCATATCATACCAGAAAGGGGTCCTAATACTGTGGTACTATTGCTTTAGCCCAGGTTCGTATAGCGCAGTGGTCGGAGGCCCGCTGTAAAACTCTTGGTGTCAATCCTCGCACTCCAGGTCCACCAAGACTTCCATCCCTTCAGGATCGGCAAATTGGTACCAGACTTGTCTGGGAAGATAGCAGCACTGGCTCGATGCATCGGTAGGCCACCACGAGTCGTTGTACAGGCCAGATGTCGTTCAATCGTCTCCAGCGATGCTTAATGAAGTTGAATGCATTGCTCAACCATCAGGAGTTGGCCAACGCCGTGGGCTTCATCCTTCTTTTATTGTTTTAACATTGTTACTTTTGGTATATGCAGTCCTATTAGTAGTAGTAGTAGTAGTGTTTAGGGGAGGATAAGTTAAGCCTATGGTATGGAGAGGGGCTATACTTCACTACTGTTTTTTTCCAGTTTTTTTGCTACCAATAGATGTATTTTCGACATTTACTAGAACTATTTTCATACTTCCAGTATGCCGCTACACGTCTCATGGCCACCGGTCCCTATTTGAGACTTGACTGTGGGGACATTCGCATCGTTACTAGTGTCGGCTTAGCCGCTCATGTTCAAAACTTCCTCGACTTAATTAGAAAACAACTGAGAAACATATTTTACTTCTGGTCATTTTCTTAAAGTTGTACAGCTTAAACGAGGATGTTATACAGGCTTATTCGGTTACTTCAAACATCCTCGTCTTCTTCAGATCCGACAGGATTGGAATGGAAGAATTAACTCTGAATAAGTCGAAGACATCAAAACGTTAGCCGGGTAAAACTTGCATGACAGCCTCGTATTAGTCCAACAGTCTTAAAAAAGTATATGTTCACGTCATGTTTAAACGATGGTCGGTTTTTAAAAAGGTTTGGACCACTTTTACGTCTGATTTCTCTCTCGTAGGTGCGCTGACCGAAGAGGTTCACTGATTATATTCAGGGAACTTTTGTTAAACAATTTTAACGAACTGCCAGTTAAATTTTGTTTTTTCCTTGACGGAAATCTTTCTTTGGTCCACTGTAAATCAGCTTATGATTTTAGGAAGAAAACGGCAAAAGCAAAAAATTATGGGAGCGCTGAAGACTTGCGTTTCATGACTGGTAGTTCGATGGGTGATGATGTGAACGTAGAGCTGACAGTAGAGAATAATGCACGTTCGGAACAGGAAGGTGGTGTATGGGCCCAGTTTTGCTTCTTCACTGCCTTTTGCCGTTGATGCCATCTATTAGCAGTTGTTGTAATTTAAGGTTCATCAAGTGAATCTAAATGTTTAAAATGTGACGACGAAGGTGACGACTTCGATGATCCGGAATCCAAGCAGAGAAAATCTGGAGTAGGTGTGCAGTTTTTTCTAGGTGAAAGATTGGCTTGATTGGCTTGCTGTTGCTCGTATAATCAATTATTACGATTACCACACTACTATTATCCTTTATCGTTTGGAAGTTCTTATCACCCAGTTTCTGGGCCTGAGGATTCTGATGTAGCCCAGTATTTAGATATCAAATGTTTTAGATCCTTTTGTTGAATTCTGTGGGGTCTTTTGTAGCGGGGTTGTCCGTTGTTTAAATATCTTGGTTAAGGTAGTAATTTTCAATAATGGAAATACGTGATTGTGGGAGTAAAATTGCAGGTACTCTACTTTTCTCACATACCTCCAAAGTTCACACCGTCTAGGCTGCAAGCGTATTTCGAGAAATATGCTCCAAATATGATTGGAAGAGTGTACTGTGCGGTAAACTTTATTGGTTTCTACTTTTAATAAGCTACATATCTGACTTCAAATGGGCCTTTTTAGCGAAATAAGAACTCAAAAACGATTGAGAATCGTTTTTCTGAAGGCTGGCTGGAGGTGAAACGGAAGTGTATCGCTAAATCTCTTGCGGTTCGTTTTGACAATTCCCCTGTAGGAGGGAAGAAGCGAGACTACACATCTAGCGTTTTGTGGAATATAAAATATCTCAGCTCGTAAGTAAATTTATGTCTATGGATAGCTTTGTCAATGAAGTATATGAGCTCTCGCCCCTAACATGAAAAGGGTTCACATAATATTCTAGTGTTATGTTCTGTTCCGAAACCGTATCCATGATGATATATTATGTGATCACTTTTTATAGCACCTTTGGTCTCTCAGGAAATCAAACCTACCTGAATAAACTCTAACGAGAAAATTACATAGTATAGTGAATAAAAAAGTGGAAATCATTGAAGTGTAGTGAATAGAAAAACCGAAATGATTGACGAGATTGCGTACGTATCGTCTACTTACTTGGGTACTTGGATGGCCCCATTTCACTGGTTGTGCAGGCCCTAGCATAATTTCTATTTTTCGGAGTTTTGCCCGTCTAGCTATTGTGGTCTCCTGGATTCCGAGGTCAGGCTAGCCATATTCTGCCCCAGGTTGTCCCTCACTACTTCAAGCAGTCGCCGCCCTTGTGGAGAGATTTCCCACCATGTGACTAGTTTGATACCAGGACGGTGGTGGATCCTGGTATTGGTTTACGCTTAGCTGGGCTTCCTGATGGAAACGCCGGGTTCCTTCTCAGTTTGGGAGACCTTGCTGTAGGGATCAATCCCCCACCGTACATTGCAGCCCGACACCCAGGAGTACCTCCAACCCACGATGAGGCGGTAAACCGTTGGGAAGATGTGTAATATAAGTGTAAATTATTTACTTCATCTCTTGTTTCAATGCGCCAGTTGTTTGTAAACTATTTACAAGAGTAGAAGTTTTTTTAATTCATTTTTTTTGTCTGACAATATTAACGATGTCACATTGTCACAATTTCAGCTTCAAGTGGGTACATCTTATGGAGCAACTACAGTATGAACGAACAATATCGGCTCATCGTATGAATGCTGAGATAGCGCAAGCAAGGAGAATAGCAGCTCATTTTGAGGAGCAAGTTGACAAGGGAAAGCACCTGAAACGGCTAGAGGAAAAGGTTTGCTAGTTGAATTTTCCTTATTTCTTGCATCTAACTACCCAAGGATAATGTTAACTTTTTATTTGCTGCCATTTACAGTTTTTCACGGCAGTGTATCATGTGAAATACAACCATAATGGTGCTGAGATATTTGCGAAACTCCCGGCCTGTGATGGGGAACGAACGCGCTTTTACTTGTTGCGAGAGCTAACCCGTTTAACACCACACTATGCGCGTCCTTCACATCACCTGTCTCTCATCTAGTTTTCTATCTACCAGTGTCATCAGCAATGACCCGTTAACAAGATTACTCTAGAATAGTTTTTGACATAGATCTCCTTAAAGGATAAAGGATAAACACCTCAGCGTTGATCGATCTTTGAAGGGTGCGCCATGCATTCGACTTCATTAATTATCGTTGGAGGTAATTGAATGCGTGTCTGCCCTTCACAATGACTCGCGGTGGCCTACTGATGTATCGCGCCAGTGCTACTGTCCTCCCAGACAAGTCTGATACCAATTTGCTGACACCGAAGGGTTGGAAGGCTTGGTCGGCAACAACGGGCGCGGAGATCGATTCAACGTGTGCCGTAGTGGCGCCTCTAACCATTGCGCCACACATTTCCTATAGATATCCTTAAGAGTATAACCTGTCATTCGTTCACAAAACTCTCCTCGAACATTTCGCTTGATTCTACTTGCAATCTAAGAGATAGCTGTGCTAGTGCGCTCCCACCTGGACAGGAGGAAAACGTTGGGGGCGAGGGATCGAGCTGTGGTCTTTCCTTCCTGATCGACGGCATCACTGACGGCTGCACTACCCCTTTCTGTTCCTTCTGAGGTATAAAAGATTAAGATAAAAATAAAGGACAAAGCTCTAGGCGTTGATCAATCCCTTATTGATGCGCCATGCATTCCACTTCATCAAACATAAGCTTTGAGTTTGGTTGTAATTGAATGCATACCTGGTCTTTACAATGACTCGCGGTGGCCTACCGATGTATCGAGCCAGTGCTACTATCCTTCCAGATAAGTCTGATACCAATTTGCTGACCCCGAAGGGATGGGAGGCTTGGTGGGCGACAACGGGCGCGGAGACCGATTCCACGTGTGCCGTAATGGCGCCTCTAACCATTGCGCCACACATTCCCTATAGATATCCTTAAGAGTGTATATTTTTCTTGTCTTTTAGCAACAAAAAGGCGTGAAAAGTAACCAACTTGGTTTAAATATCTGTTGGTCTACATAAAATGGTGGTTGTAGTGTTGAATTACTGGTCTCTTTAAGTCAAATTCAGGTTCATTGAGTCTGTTCTTACTCATAACTTACTTGGTATTTGGTTGGTTCACCATGAATTCTTGGTCATTCTAAGTATAAATATTCTGTATCATACCTAGTTTTTATTGCATATTCAATGTACTATCCCTTATCGGAGATACTCCAGCTTTAACCATATTCAGGGCAAGAGTAGCGCAGTGGTTAGAGGTGGCGTGCAATCAATACACACATGGTCGGTGGCTTTATAGAGTTTGAGTTCAACAATTTTCCGCTCTGTACTACGTAGAGGATATTTTGCGCATCGTACTTTGAAAAGCAACAGAGAGAAAATCTGCAGCAGGATTCGTCACAGTCGTGGCTTATACTGCGCGCATTGGCCGTCCTCATCTAGGGTAGTGAAGCGAATATTGAGAGGCGCTCAGACGTCGAGTTGCATAAAACTTCATTAATACTGGAAAAGACTTTAGAATTGGAGTAGGAAGATAGAATGAAATGGGATGTGTGGTTTGAAAATTTGGAATATGCGAACGATAGGGAGTTGCTGGTTTCATAACCACAAAATTCCGATTTAGTAGAAATTAATGTTCCAAAGAAGAAAAGGAATGTTTGGATAGCATAGAAACCTAAGTGGTGTTTGATGCGAAGATAGATCGTATCCTCAACAGAGCAGTCCTTTCCTGAGGTCTTCGTAGCGTAGTCATTTTGTGTTGATTCTATTGCCGCCTTCTGTCCAACCATAAGTGCTAAAAGAACAAAGCTCTCGGCGTTGATCAATCCCTGAGTGATGCGCCATGCAGTGGACTTCATCAAGCTTTGTTAGAGGTGTTGAATTCATACTTACTTAGCCTATACTCGTGGCGGCCTACCAATGTTATCAAGTCAGCGCTTCTATCCTCCTAGAAAAGTATTGCACCAATTTGCCGACCACAAAGAGATGAAAGTCTTAGCAAGCCCGGGGTGCGAGATCGAACCTATGTGTATTGCAAGGCATCTTTAACCACTGGGCGATACGTACCTCTGTCCAGCCATATCGTGATCAAATATTCGTGTCACTTATGAAGAAGTAGATGTATCGCTTGTTTGATGAAAGCATTCTTAACGAAATCCCTCTCTTATGTGAATGGCAAATCAACGAAGAAAATTGGGATAATGTTTCCATTACCACCAATAGATTGGACGACTCTATCTTGATTCGAATGCAACATCCCTAAAATACTGATAATTAGTACCAGTTGCAGAATTTTCCTTTAGGAACCGTTGCAACGAGTGTAGGCAGGAAAAACTGTTCGTTCCCAGAACAGGTTCTCAGAGAAGAACCAGAGAATTGCTTTAAAGAAATATGGAGTATGTAACGTTACTCTATCAATCATAATGGGTGAGAAATTGCCACCACCTCTCACGTTTGAATAGGGTTTAAACCATAAAAAGTTTGCAATCTTTCCTGCTCTGAAATGCTCACTCTGAACGCAAAATTTCTTGTGTAACAATATCATCCCAGTTTTTTTTCCCTTTGAAAATCGATTTATGATAGAGATCATGAAGACGTCAGCAGCTTGCTTTCCTCAACCTCGAAGTTCATATGTTCATAGCGAAAGGAATGCTTACTCGTAAAGGATATCGCTATCTGGCGTCTTACCAATAACCTTTTATATATGCTATATATTTCGTAGGGTGTTCACAAAGACTATCCTGGCGTGCATATGAATGACATTAACAACATTAAACTCTGCCATTTAGGCACGAATATGACTCTTATATTGTTTGTGGGTATTGCGGGGCGCGTGTAGTTAGAGTTAGGTCATTGGTTAGAGGGGCCATACAATACACGCGGGATCGATCCCTTCCATCTCTTATGGTCGACAAATTGGTGCTGGACTGGTCCGGAAGGAAAGCAGCTCGGACTCCATACATCGGTAGGCTACCACGAGTCATTTTAAAAGCCAGATATGCATCCAGCCACCTCTAACGTTGCTTAAAAAGGGCGAATGCATGGCTCATCCCTCACGGATTGATCAACGCGGAGAGCTTTATCCTTTACGATATTGCTTTCATCCTTATAAGACACGGCTTTTGTTGGAATGCTAGATTTTACGAATGCTTTCAACAAGTGGAAACCGCTTTTTCTAGTCGAAAAAATAAGATGTGCTTTTCTAATGTTTATAAGTATCTATTGCAGGCGCTCAAAGCTGGCGGACTTTGGAATAAGTTCCAGCGTGAGATTGAGCAGCGGAAGGTGATAAGATCTAAGCGAAGGAAGTTGAAATCGAAGCAATCTCATTCAGCTGCCAAGGATGAAAATGTGTTGCAAATGATTTTTGCGGAGTAACCTTATTAGGATTGTTCTTTTCTATCGGTTTGTCTTTGCCGCTTTAAATTTATGTTAGTATTGAAGTGTTTCTAAATTAAATACAATAACTCGATTATGAATAAAGTCTAGTGATCATGAGTCGGGCGATTGAGAATTGAAGATCTCGTGAATAGATGCAGAGAATCCTGACTTTGTTTTTACTTACTTGGATACTTGGACGGCTCATCCTCACCGGTTGTACGGGCATCAGCACCTCTATTTTTCGGAGTTTTGCTGTTTTTAGGCATCGTGTTTTCCTGGATTTTCAGTGTCGGCTTGACCAAAGCCTTCTCCGGATCGTCACTACTACACGCAGTCGTCGTCCGTGTGGATAAGAAGAATTCCCATTATGCGACTAGTTTGATACCAGGACGGTGGTGGATCCTGTTATTGGTTTACTCTAGCTGGCGTTCCTGATGGAAACGCAGGACTCCTCAGCTCGGGAGACCTTGATGGGAAATGAGTTCCACTGCTGTACATCGCGCAGTCCGACACCCAGGAACACCTCCAAGCGACGGTGAGACGGTAGACCGTTGAGAGTGACATTGCTATTAGAAATTACTATTGTTATTACTACAGATCAGCTTAAGATAATCACTCTATATTGTGCTAATAAAATACAGTCGCATGAGGTACGTGCTGTCACCTTCTGGCTTTTCGCTATCTTCATTTCTACTATGCTAAAAAACGCATAAGACCGCCATCAAATGGCAACATCGTTAAGATAAATATTAGATAAAGTGCAGCATAAAGAAGGGATCTGTCCCCTGGATGCATCTCCGTCTCAGGGAAGCAAAGGTCGTTTTTGGTCAGCGAGTTACCTCCTATCCGTCATCTGGAGACGCTCCACATCAGCTCACGAATAACCTCCCTGAGATCCCTCTATGGGGAAGGTCCGTGGAACTAACAACAATAGCAATATTAATAGCATCTTGTAATTCTTGCCTAGAAACAGAATGGATACAGGTCGTACAAGGATTATTGTTAGCTATTATGACTCAATTACAGTTTCTACATAAAACTGAATGCCTACCTACAATCAGTAATCCTTACATAAAACTTGTGCTTTTTTCCTACAGTTAGTAATCTGCGAACAGAAGTTCGTACAGTTGATTTACACTTAGTATAAAGCCTAGTAGGGCGCGTGTGGCGCAGCGGTTGGAGGCGCCACTGCGGCACTCACGTGGAATCGATCCCCACGCCCATCTCCCACCAAGCGTTCCATCCCTTCGGAGTCGGCAAATTTGTACCAAACTTGTCTGGGAGGATAGCAGCACTGGCTCGATACATTGGTAGGCCACCGCGAGTCATTGTAAAGACCAGATAAGCATTCAATCACCTCCAACGATAATGAGGTCTAATACATGGCGCACCCCCAGGGATTGATCACCGCCGAGAGGTTTATCCTTTGTTTCATAAAGCCTACTGAAACCTTATAAGCAATACTTTTTTCCTAAGTTCTGCGTATAGTTCTAACTTTTCTGGTTTGTGATACAGTGTATTTTCGATCATAGAGCTCTCTAGTATTCTTGTATAATGACAATCAAACAATTACAATCAGTGATTTTTTATATGATTGAGGTGACGTGAGGTTGGTATGGAAACTTTTATCTGGCTAACATTACGACGCCTTCGCGTTCCTCAGAGCAGCGTTGATCAAAGTTGATAGTCCATAGTTCCTTGTCGCATCGAGTCGAATCCAGAGGAGGAAGCACCACTTAAGTAAAGAATTGTAAAATCCACATGTTATCTTCATTCTTTCAAACTCTCGATGCCACTTTCATCAATGAACTGCGGAGACGACAATGTCGAAACACTCTCGCGTCCAGCATGACGCAAGTAGACGACCATCTTGAAATCATTCAGTGAGAAAGTTTTTTGCACAAGCTCATTTTACACCGTCATGCGTTCACCAGGGAAGTCTGAGTGGTCAAGTGGAAGGAGAGCTGTCTGCACCTAAAATATATGTGAAAAAATTATAGGTAAACCATAGAGACAAAGATTCACGTACAACTTGTCAGCCCTTCTTGCGTATGGGCAGAAGGCCGCCATCTGATCACTTGTGTCTACGATATGCTTTCTATGGTGGGAGCTCTATACGACTTTCCGATATTGATAAGATGGAGGAAAGAGACGCGGCGTCAACTGCTTACAACGTAATTATGTCCTTATTTTCCCACTACCACGCTTAGATTCTTTTACGCTACCAACTGCCAACTGCTCAGCTGCACTCACGACGATCTTCCAAGTATTAGCCATGAAACGATCATAACAATCTTTCCGTCATTTACATCGATCCTCCACATCTTCGGTTTCTCATGTCACTTTCAATCAGAAGGCAGTTGAGCCCGAAGATTAAGTCTTGGTGAGATGATATCTTGAGCAGAAAAATGGATGGTACCAACAAAGGTGGGTGAGGAGGAGCGAAAGGAAACAAGAAGAATAAAGTGATGAAGGAGGTGTAGCGTGACGATAACCTCAGAAGGAGGCGCCTCATATGCCCTCATTTTCTGGAACATTCCTCAAGACCTGTAGAAAATTAACTCTGATTTTCCTGATAAAAATTATGGAAAACTCCACTAATCTACTAACTTTGCCAATTTTTGCACCTATGGATCGATTCTTACTTGCAATTCGTACGTACTCGAAGGCAGTTTCCCCTTTAAATAAGTATATCTCAGCTCGTAATAAAATTAATGAATTGTAGCGAAACTACAGCAATCCAGGAGTTTTTTGCAAGGAGATCGACATCTGATTTTTCATTGCGATAAAAATTAAATTCATATGAAAGTCACAATCTTTATTTTTTATTTTCTGCCTTCTATAATTTTTATGGCATGGTATTAAGCGAAATACAACCAAAAGATTGCTGAGATATTTACAAAACTCCGGATCGCAGGTGTCTACGGTGGGCAACGAACACGCTATTGTCCTTTCCGGGGAGTAACGCGTTCACCGCCACAGCAAGCGGGTCCTTCGTTTCGCCTGTCTCTCAGCTAGTTCTATCGATCTGTGCCGTAATATTGCTGATTGTTGATGGCAAAAGATCGATAGAACTAGCTGAGAGACAGGCGAAACGAAGGACCCGCTTGCTGTGGTGGTGAACGCGTTACTCCCCGGAAAGGACATTAGCGCGTTCGTTCCCCACCGCAGACACCTGCGATCCGGAGTTTTGCAAATATCTCAGCAATCTTGTGGTCATATGGAAGTCTCAATTTTTAATAAGACTGGATTGAGAACTGCATATTAGAAATGTTCTTGCTATCGGGATTTACTGGAAGCGGTCATCACCGTCTATGTATGATATGGAAAGATAAGTTTCGTGACCAGCGATTCAATGATTTTCTCATTTCGGGATGTGAATTTAGTAGGGGATAAGAGAGTGTAAGACACTCAGAAACACATTCATTATAAGTTCTCCTTCCTTCCAACTTCTGAGATTAACATGTTGGTTTCTGTTTAGCAGATGAACTATAATGAAATCTAGCATTTAGTAGCAATGTTCTACATCAAGATCTGATGATAGCGTCTTCTACAATTTTATAATGTTCTCAACCCCATAAGTCTCTGAGTGTCGAAAAATTGTCGTTCGTTGTTGACACACCCAACATTTGACTTGTTTAATTAGCCGAATTGTTGATTTTTGCTTGCGGTTCAGCGAAATGAACTTTGTTCGTGTTTGTGCTAAGACTTGACGAAACTGATGAGATTGTTGTGTATTCACAAGAATGACTCTTTGGTAAAATGGCAAAAGAATAAAGCTTTCGGCGTTGATTAGTGAGGGACTGACTCAACTTCAAGAAACTTCGTCGAGGTAACCCAGTGCATACCTGGCCTACAAAATTACTTGCGGTGGCCTCCAAGTGGATCAAGATAGTGCTGTGACGCCGTGCCTCCAGACAAATCTGGTACCAACTCTTTAAAAAAATAGCGGACTTTGCTAGCGCTTTTCAAAGGGTATTCATCGTATAGGTGACGTTGCTGCGAACAATTGGAAATGGAAGTTGAAGTGTTCATCGCTCATCAGTATACCTCTACCAAATGTGAAATAAACACTGCAGAAACAGGTTCGTGTCGGCTCGTCAACAATATCGAATCTCAAAGATGAGAGCAAAAGTTAAAAATAATGATAAAACGGTGGCAATGAATAACTTCAATTTGGCAATCTTTGATTGGAAAACATCGCTTCAATCCAAAAGGTTGTTAGAGTATGAATCTAACTGAAGAAATCTGACCTCTGGAACCTTTTCAAAATAGGCTAGCGTTATGCTTTATTCGTCCACTCAAATTTAACGGATGTTTCTTGAAATTCGGTTCTGGAACATGTCATTGGAACTGCGAACAAATATTCCACGAGAATTGAAAAAGGGGTTAGATTTTCTTTACAATGCACATGTACACACTACTAAACCGTAATACTAAACCAATTGTATATGTTATTCTTCAGCGTCGTTGTGAGTCCGTAATGCTGTTGGAAACACATCCACCATGTCGCTTATGAGATTTCGATCCTTGGACAAATTGGTGCTAGACTTCTGAAACAAGTGGACATGGTATTATTTGGGTAGAACCCAATGCATTTTAATTTTCAGACAATGATGAGCAGCACTGACGACTGGACGGTGGCGCTGACGCTACATGGAGAAGTAGAAGACGGTTCAAAAGCAACGGCAGAGTGTTAATCTCATCCACTGTTTTATAAAACACATAATTCCAGAAGGATATATATATATAACACAATACAATATAATAGTGTATACTTTGGAAAAAGGAATCGCTGAGGCTTTTGCTTTCGGCAAGAATTGTACTGAACAAAGGCAGCGAAGGACTGATTTCTGCAGTGAGACATGACAATCGACGTTGGAACTTTTGGGTACTGGAGGCCGTGGTTCGGCATCTTATGATATGATAGTATCTCTGTGAATTATACCAGAATAATATAATGTATCAGAATTCCATACCAAACTAATACGAATCTGTCATCTCGAGAAACGTAGACATTAACTTTTTGGCCGATTCTTATCAATCAGGGCTCTTCCAAGCTAACAAGGAGACCAGAGTTTCTATCCGGCAATCCGGATAAAAGTAAACCAACAACTGGATTCACCACCGTCCTAGTATAAAACTAGTCGCCTGGTGCCTGGTGGCAAATCTCCCTCTGATCCACAAGAGCGGTCACTGTCTGCGGTGATGGCGACCAGAGGGAGGTTTCGGTTAGCTTAACCTCGGAGCTCTGCCGTAAGCCACATTCATTAAACAAGCAAATGTCTAGAACGGAAACTGTGCTGGAATTCGAACAACCACTGGAGACGGGCCATCCAAGTATCTAAATAAGTAAGTTACATCTGCTTAAAAATGTTTCACGAACCTCATACCAGTATTTACGAAGCACTGACAAAGGCCTCGCAGAGCCTCGGTATTGAATCCGCCTTCAATCGCGCATCGCTTTGTAGTTTGTATGACCTCGATGTCGGATGGAAGGGCAAGACCACAGCTGAAATCGAAACTGTTCGCTTTTTTAGGAAAACACTGTGAAAAACTGTCACAACTACTAAGTATGCACATTTTTAAACGGTCTCTTTGTCTATAACTAACTTCAGTTTTTTCAAGCAGCTGCCAGCTCCTCGTTCCGAACACTTCATTATGCATGTGGCGAATTTCTTTCCGGTCGCGAGGAAATTCTTAGCTTCGTTTTGGATTCCTGGAAAATAGTTGGCACTCAATGTGAAGTGCATTGTTTAGTTTAATTCCTTTCCCGGTGTAGTTCATGGAAATCAAAATTTGCGAATTTTTTGACATAACAAGTCCTCAAGTTTATTGTGTGGATCCCAGCACTTCACACACTCGATTCGTTTCCTCGCATCCTTTGTCCACAAAGATTTTTCAACTTTTTACATGTGGCTTCCATTGCTGCTTGAGAATTTTCATTTCATCTTGAATGTAGTAGAGTGCTGGTCGTGCAATTCTTCCTGGAGTCCTGAGATAGCCGGGATGGAGTGTTCCCAACTGAATTGCAGAGGGTGATTTTTTCCCAGACAAGTCCCGTTCCCGACCCCAGACGAATGAGAGATCTGGTTGGCCCGGAGCAGAATCGAGCTAGCATTATGCTCGTGATGACGGACATCACTATCACTGTGATATCTGCTCCCTAGTTTTCAAAATAAACAAACATGAATTGAATTGCCATCGACGACTGGTTGAACTGCTGTCCTCAAATGGTTAGTTCTGTCGAAAAATTGTTTCATTGCACTGCACCTGTCTAATAAACTGTTTTAGCTTCACAACCAAGAACAATGCAGCAACCTGGAGATAAAAATCAACTCTGCCTTTATGGTTGACCAACAACTCCCATTAAATGAGAGCTACGGGGGTAGTTTGGCTCAGTGGACAGAGGTTCGCCGCAACGCAGTTGTGATAAATGGTTCGAGCCGCCATTACTGACAAACCAAACACCCTTATTCCATCAGAATCGGAAATTTCCGCTACCAGACTTGTTTCGGAGGATTAAAAGGACATTGGTGTGGGCACGGTAACCCATTGAAGACTGTTGTAGAGAACAGGTATTTATTCAGTTACTTCTACGATGTTTAATGAGTTTGAATGCATGGCGCATTCGTTAGTGCTTGATCAACGCCGAACGTTCTACGTTTTGCTCTTCACGCCATGATAAGAAGGCGCGTACAACAGACTAGTTTGAGCCCTGCAATACACATGGTCATTGGATCCTTTCCGTCCGGTGTAGGCAAATTGGTTCTAGACCTATCTGCGAGGATAATAGCACTGACTAGGAACATTAGTAGGCTATCGCAAGTCAGTAGGGCAGATGTGCATTCCATCACCTATGACGATGCTTATTGAAGTCGAATGCATCCATCGCACATCCTCAAGGACTGAATGCTTTATTTATTTTTGTGATGATGATGACGAATATTGGTTACCTGATCTTGTTAGCATTGAATTTATCTCAGTAAAGGCAGCGATTTTCATAGTTTCCGGATATCGTTTTGGTACCATCTGACCTGGGCTATCCGTGCAACTGAAGTAATTCCTCAGAAGTTTTAGGATAAGTAAAAAATTTCGGAGCAGCAAATCTAACGGTATTTCCTACTAGGTGGAAGTCACTGTTTATTCGAATAATAGTTTTCTCTGCGGTCATTTCCATTTCAAACAAGGATGGGTCCTAGGTGGTCTTCTCTTACAAAACACGTACTTATTTTTTATTGTCTTACTTTATCTTAGGTTATCGTTATAAGCGTGCGATGATGTTTTATATAGAGTTTTAAAGCATAACTAAAACAAGAAAAGTTGTGAGAAGGCACTTACGCTCCCTGCAGATGACGCTCCTGACATTTTAGCATTGCGTTGAACATTGGTTCACTGGAAACCAGACAACTTCGAAACGCTGGATACGAGGCCCCAAGTTCTGTCACATGATTCTGAAAATTCAGTATTAGAATATTTGCTTCACGTCTGAGATAGAGTAGTAAGAAAGATGAAGGACTAACAAGAAAATATGGAAGAATTATAAAACGGAGGGTAAGAACTTGCACAGACAGCTTTCTACGTATTGTTTAGTTCTATTTCTACTTTTTACAGTTTATCCTAATCGATGGAATGAATCTTTGGCCATGTGGCAAGAGACAGGCTTGAAACAAACGCAGCAGATGTCTTCATCCAGAAGAAACGTTCACATTTAAGCGGCATCTTTGTTAGAAAACTTGTCAGTAGCTGATTATTACACCCTAAACTGTCGATGAGACGTTCTGCTTCTGAATCGAAGATAATATGTTGAGTAGTGGGCTGTAAAAATCGCTTAGCTGTTATGTAGTTCACGTCACTGCTAGGAATCCTTATAAAGCTCGACTTTGTGTAGTATTCTTATCGTCGGTAATGCAGAGATGTTTCTGAATCAGAGTCCCGACACCCTACCTTGCAGTGATCGGCGCAGTTTATGATACTGGCGACAGCCGAATTCTTACACGGTAGAAAGTCCTTACACAAACACTGTCGAATCATCTGCGATCGAACAACGTTCAACGTTATGAGGAAAACGAGTAACAGCATCTCTGAAACAGCTGAAAAAAGTAGCCATGGCATTAAAGACACGTAGTAGAATCACATTGACAACTAAAGAAATTTGCTTAATATCAACCGTATAGAAGAAGATTGCAGAATAGTGGACACGACCGCTATTTATTCTAAAATTTGCTGAATTGGGCAAATATGACAACTTGGTTGCTCCGCCCACTCGACATTTTTGTTACGACGCGTAGAAGAGATGGTTGTCGCTTTTTGTTGAGGAAGTACGGGTTCACTTGAAGAGAACTCGATGATGTATATGGTTCGCAGAAAAACAAAAACAATTCGAGAAACTCAATTTGTCACTAGTGCTTTGTTTTCTATAATAAATGTAACATGAACGCGTCGTTTTCTTGTTCAGCAATCGCGAGGTTTTTAAACAGCATACATTTACTTCCACAGAAAAACACAATACAATACAACGCTAGCTGACGTTTCGGCAGTATCGCCTTCTTCAGATCCGCTCTTTTCGTGACTTCCAATGAGGAAGTTTTTCGTGAAAAAAGCGGCTCTGAAGAAGGCGCTACTGCCGAAACGTCAGCTAGCGTTGTATTGTATTGTTTTTCTATGGAAGTAAATGTATGCTGTTTAAAAACCTCGCGATTGCTGAACAAGAAAACGACTCATTCATATTCCAATGCCGAGGTTAATAGAAAGTCGATCCTGGGAACTATAAATGTAACAGTTTTTCGAAAGCAGTAATTGTAAGAAGTTTCGTTGATAAACCATAATAAAGAATGATACTGACATTACCCAGAGAACTATCCGTATTTGACAGAAGCACGCTCTTCATCATAAACGCTATTTCTCCTCTGCCCTTAAAAATATTTCTGTCAAAATCGCATTTTCCTTAGAGTGGCTAACGACAAAATCTTTTCGAAATGAAGTTCATATTTCATCTGCTGTGTGGGTGAACGACCATTTAACCTTTGTCCAGAAACAGACCCGAATTCGATATCTTCATTGGGTAATTGTGACATAATACCGATAAGATTTTAAGGTTTCAGACATGATTCTCTCTGTCGTCGTGTTTTTGATGCTTTACATAAGATGTCAATGTTAACGTTATTATTTTAGACGATTTGCTCTTTATGGTTTACATCCTTGTTTAGCGTTTCAGAATTAGAAACAGGTTACTTAGATTTCGCGTCTTTTTCCTTATTTTTCACATTTGCTTCAGGAAACAACCCATCCATTTACGATCTAACCAGCATTTTGCTCATTGATGTCGCCCAACATTTACTCTAGGCTCAAAAGAGATGGTTTTCTCATAGAAGCCGCCTATGAACAGTTTTAGTAATAATTTGAAGTAGATGAAGTTGACCACATGTTCACTCTATCCGAAAACAATTTTTCGAATTTCAGAAGAGCTGGAGATCAAAGTGGGAAAGCCTCGAAACGGAAGACTTAGGGAAGAGAAGAGAGACTCATTCAGAGAAGCAATCAGGTGGAATTGCTCTTTTATGTATATGTTCACGTTGACATCTTCGCTATCTCATTAGTTCTCAGTATAATATGCCATGCTAGTTACAGTACCAGCAGAAAAAAACCTTAACCGTGTATGGTCTCAGATTCTGCTGAGCTAGCAGGTGGCTTCCCAGCGACTGTCAAACGTCATAAAACGTTTCAGGGTATCAGACCACCCACTCTGTCCTCGCGACCAATTCGTTCATCCTGTGCTGGAGCGTCATACTAATGGATGAAATGAATATGCCTAGGCTGACGAGCTGGTGTTCACCAACTACTATGAGATTCAAAAGATCGATTTTCTATAAAGCTCAGCATAGATAGTTGATATATTTAAGATTGTCTATGTGCAACACAAAATTGCATAATTTGTCCGATGGTAGAGACGGCGACTGCATGAGTTCGGGAATAGTCTATCTGATCTCTTGTATAGTGTGCGGGACGAATACGTTGGCGAAACGGGTAGACCACCTTGCATTCGTATAAAAGAACACCTAGTCGGCAAACGTAAAGCACATACTCCACTAAGCACGCATAGGAAGCAGAGAGATAACGGAGAAGATTTTGAAGTAGGGGTTGCGATTCTCGCGCAGGAGAATCGAGAACACGCGCGCAAAACTTGCGAGGAATTCTGGATTAATTCCAAGAATCCGAAAATGAACCGCAGGGACGATTGCCTCATTATCACGCATGATATTGGGCAACATATAAGGCTATAATTCTGATGAGATGAGCACATTACGATCCCAAGTAAACTCTCTGGGGTTGGTCTCCACGTGACACATTCAGTGGAAAGCCCGCAGAAAGCCGTGATTGCGCGAAGAAGCTCTTCTGCGTTCAACGTGATTGAAATCTTGTTTTGGAATTTTCTCTACTTAGTTATGGAAGTGTTTGGCAGTGTAGATTGCAGTCAAGTTGGCCTTTCCAGGCTCTGAGGAAGGCGAAATGCGCCGAAACCTCAGCTTGCGCGTGAATAAAGAAATAAAATAACAATTCGTGTACGCTAAACAGAAGTAGAAAGAAATCCAGATAACTCGATAAATCCAAGCAACTTGATCATGTAGGAAATCAATTTTTTCATATCAGATACCGTATGACCTTCATATTTTTTAAATTATAGACTCTTGCTCACGTTTTCTCTGACATTGACAGATTTGAATATAATTCTTCATCAGTGTGAAGGGTACTCGGCTGATATTCTGCGCCCTTTGAATAGAGTCCTAACAACCAGTTAGGTTGACAGTAAGTTGTTTTTTATTCTAGACGGTGTAACAACGAAATCAAATGAGGAACTATGGTTGCCTCTGGAATAGGCGGTCACGGTAATAAAGGCTACCAATTTTTTCTTCATTTGAAACCTTGGCGGATCTGGTTTACACTGTACGATTATTTGAAATGACGAAAAGAAAAACCTGTCTGTTTTGTTTACTAATGTGTAAAACAAATTTGTCCATCTTTAGGTGTCATTTGGTGATGGTTCCTAATCGGTGCGAGAACATCGCCGCTATTTCGGAGGGTTATCAGAAAATGTGAAAAAGTTCACCATACTTTGCTAGCCCATCCTAAACTATCCTTCACATCGTAGTATCATGCAAACAGCCGAGTTCCTGTGTGTGGGGATTGGCGGAAAGATCTGTCATTTCATCGTCTCAATGAGTCATTCTCGGTGTGAAACGCTCATCAAACGAAGCTTCTCTGAAATTCCCGAAACAGTCATGCTAAGGTGTTGCCAGTTCTGTGCTAAGATGTATTCACAGCAATTTGATCATCAGGCGGTGGTTTGTTGCTTTATAGGTGCAAAGAAAATCCTTCCAGGGTGGCAGATTACCGTAATCATTTCAACCAACTGGATATGGTGCAGCTTGCCGCAAACAAAAACATTCATGACTGATACAGTATAAAATCGAGAAATACATTTTAATTAAGAACGACGTAAGAACCCATGTTAAAACCATTACTTACAGCGTTTATCCTACTTTGGTTGATTACAAATTTCAATACACTTTAAAGTGTATCGTAATATTTTACCATTTATTTTCTGCCTACTAAAATCTTCATGGCAGGGTACTACGCGAAATACAGCCACAACGTTGCTGAGATCTTTGCAAAACTCTGGACCGCAGGCGTCTGCGGTGGAGAACAAACGCACTATTACCCTTTCAGTGGAGTAATGCGTTCACCAACACCATGCAGGTCCTTTGTTTCACCTGTCTCTCAGCTAGTTCTATTCCTAATCCCGTTGACAGGTGATTGCTGATGGCGGAGATCGATAGAACTGGTTGAGAAACAGGAGAAAAAAAGACCCCGCGTGGTGTGGTGGTGAACGCGTCACTCCCCGGAAAGGACAATAGCGCCTTCATTCCCCACCATAGACACCTGCGGTCCAGAGTTTTCCAAATATCTCAGCAACGTTGCGGTTGTATCATAATATTTCGGGAGCGCATGCCGCAGTAGTTGAAGGCGCCAGTGAGACATACAACTGGAGTCGATCCCCGCGCACGTTGTTACCCACCAAGCCTCCCATCCCTTCGGGGTCAGCAAATTGGTATCAGACGTCCGGGAGGATAGTAGCACTGGCTCGATACATCGGTAGGCCACCGCGAGTCATTGTAAAGACCAGGTATGCATTCAGTCACACCCAAACTATGCTTAGTGTAGTCGAATGCATGGCGCATCAATCAGAGACTGATCAACGCCGAGAACTTCGTCCTTTATTTTTTATCATAATATTTTATACTCCAGAAGGAACAAAAAGAGGTAGTGCAGCCGTCAGTGATGCCATCGACCAGGAAGGAAAGACCCTGGCTCGATCCCTCGCCCCCAACTTTCACCTCCTGTCCAGGTGGGAACGCCCTAGCACAGCTATCTTCTAGATTGCAAGCAGAATCGAACAATACGCGAAATGTTCGGGGAGAGTTTTGTGAACGATGAATGCATGGAAGACGAGCCGAAGGCAAAAAGTGCTGGGGGCCACACAGTTGATGTCATGACGGGCTATGAATATTAAAAAAAGTGGAGGGAGAGATAGTTCATCATACACGTGAATGAATAATACCATACGTCATTTTCAACTGAAGAGTTCAATTTGAGGCATGGTGTAGTGAAAGGCAGGAAATAATCAAAATGTCTTTTTTCTCTACACTGAAAATACCTCTCTAATGTGTTAACGAATAAAGGATGAAGGTCCCAACGTTGCTGAATATCTGAAGAATGCACACTGCATCCCATGTTTTCAGGTCTCGGGAGTGATTTAATGCATTTTTGGTTGGCTTATACAATGGTTTTCACTGAGGTGCCAATATATTAATTCAGGGCTGGTATCCTTCCAGAGAAGTCTGGTACCAATTTGCCGACTCCGGACGGATGGAAGGCATTGGGCAGCCAGGTGCGTTTGGTCGAACCAACGAAAAAGGCAGGTCTAACCACTGCGCCGTGTGCTGCATTCTATATCAGTGGAAGTGAGATCACTGGCAGCTCTATGGGATTAATTTTTTGTGCGATGCTACATCTGTTACAAT